TTACCGAACTTCAACAATGTGATTTTCCATTTCGCTATCTTAAATTACCGGAGTGTAAACTGTTAGTTCAGTGGAGGATATTTGCCATCAAGTCCCCATGAATTTCCGTTACAGTAAATCCCCATCAATCCCCGTTACAGTAAATATTTGAAACATATCATGATACATTCCCATCACAATCCCATTGTATCTCTATTGAAATTGTGATTTAATCCGCATGAAATCACAACTATGTTGGTTTATTCATTGTATCACCGTTTACTAAAGTACCAAAGTATATTCACCCTTAGTAAATTCACATTTAATTTATATTCAAAGTTTTCACCTTGATATCACTATAAATGATCACCTTGATATCACTATAAACAATCATAAGTACTTTGGGAAACTAATATAACTATTTAAAAAAAAATAAAAACTTCCTTTAATAGGTAAATCATCTATAAATGGTCCATTTTCCATAGCTATTTTACAGGATCAGAGGGTACTAAAGGTAATTTACTTCACCAATGGCCATACTTCACCCCGGCCCGGGCCTTCATGTACAGATCCACGGACAAATCTCGTTCGATGAAGAACCTCATGACATGCACGGGGAACTCATACAATGTGGGACCCCAATAGAAGGTTGGATGGGTGGTCAGCAAGTGATGTAACCAGAAAAAAAGGCGCTGTAATGGGATTCAATGGGATTTGGCTAGCTAAGTTGGTTTAGTTAACTAAAATAACATCGAACTAGCCAGATTGATTGAACGAAAACAAGTTAGAACTCTGGGGCGCCACTGCAAACTGCTTTTAACACGGATGGTTTCAACCCCGTCTGCAGCAAACATTGGAACCATCCCCAGTAGCTACCAGTAGTACCGCACAAGGCGGTGGCGGAAGTTTCAAAAATAGGAAACCTATAGGAGAGGTTGGTTGCTGTGAATCACAGATGGCAGAGCGAATCCACTGATGGACCCAAAGGTGGTTGGAGTTGTGTTTTTTGGAATGGTTGCAATGGTTGCACTGGTCACCTGGTCAGTTACCTCACACACAGCAGCTGGATGTAGTGGTGTAGTGCAGCTGTAGTTGTAGCTGTAGCGTAGTGGAGTTGTAGTTGTGCGTAGTGTAATTAGTGTAGTGTAGTCGCAGTTGCATTTGTAATGAGTGTAGTGTAATGAATCGGCCCCGCGGGAAAACCATTACAATTAGGTGGTGTAATGAGTGTAGCGTAATGTAATGTAGGGTATTGTAATGTAGTGTACTCTAGTGTAGTGTAGCGTAAAGAAGCGTAGTTGTAGTTGTAGCTGTAGTTGTAGTTAGTGTAGTGTGGTGTGGTGTGGTGTAGCGTAGTGCAGTGTAATGTAATCAGTGTAGCGTTATGTAGTTGTAGTTGTAGTTGTAGTTGGTGTAGTGTAGTGTAATGTAGTGTAGTGGAGTGTAGTGTAAATAGTGTAGTGCAATGTAATTAGCGTAGTGTAATGCAATTAGTCTAGTGTAATGTAGTTGTAGTTCTAGTTCTAGTTCTAGTTGTAGTGTAGCGTGGTGTAATTGAATGTAGTGTAGTGAAGTTAGGTGGAGTGCAGTGTAGTGTAATTAGTGTAGCGTAGTGTAGTGTAATCTAGTGCAGTTGTAGTTGTAGTTGTAGTTGTAGTTGTAGTTGTAGGTGCAGTGTAGTGTAGTGTAGTGTAGTGTAGTGTAGTGTAATTGAGTGTAGTGTAGTGGAGTGTAGTGTATTGAAGTGTAATGTAATTAGTGTAGTGTAGTGTAGCGTAGTGTAGTTGCAGTTGTAGTTGCAGTTGTAGTCGTAGTTGTAGCTGTAATTGTAGTTGTAGTTGCAGTGTAGTGTAATATAGTGTAGTGGTGGTTGTAGTTGAAACTGCTACAAAACCCTCACGTTTTTCTCATTTTTGGCAAGGTGCAGAATCCCTTGCGCCTGCCACGCAAAACGACATCCGAACGCCCCTCAGTCTTTTCCACGTTTGGCTTCGAAATGTGCTTCGCGCCACACCAGCGTTCACTTTTCCGACATCTCAACTTCCAAAAGTCGTCCAAACATGAGGTGTTTTGTACATTTTGACTTCCAAATGTGCTTCGCGCCACAACGGCGTGCAATTTTTCATCTCTCACTTGGCCAGATGGCTCCGCTTCGCGACTTTCCTACCTTTTCGCGCACCTGCATCTTCTTTCTTATGACTCTTTCTCTTCTCTGATCTTCACTCTTCTTCTCTTCTCTTCTCTGACTCTTCCCACCTCTGCTTTTCCATCTGTCCATATTCTCGGAAGTTTGACTTCTAAACTTCTTTCGATGATATAATATATATATATATCTTCCATATCATATATAAACATATATACTATTGTATCCTATTACTATTCCATGAACATATACCATTATAGCACCATATTCTGCCGATTATCCAAAACATATACTATTACTATTGATTCCCTATGTTGGCTATTACATGCTATTTCTATCATTTACTATCATATTACAAGAGTAGTTGGGTATATCCCTGGTATGTCTAAATCATATCCCCACACATAACCCATACATAACCCATACATCATTCATTATCATTCATCATCATTCGTCATTATTTAAAATAATTCATCAACATTCCATCCAAATCCATCCAACTCCATGTATAATTATATTTATATTTTATATATGTTCATATATATATATATCATGATCGATCTATACCACCATTATAGCACCAGTGACAATGTCACCAGATAGTAACCATCCAATGGGTATTATATTTATAATATATATATATATATAACCATAGGATGTGGCATAAGAAACATAATCTACCATTTTTTTTAATCATAAGAACATCTCCACATATAGCAACCAAATCCAAATCCATTGATATATATATATATTTATATCACCATATGATATGGTATGATAACCAGAAAATATCCACAGATAGTAAACATCTAAAATTATATATATATATGATTATATATGTATTGCCATTATATATCACCACAAAAAAAATCACCATATTTTCTAGATTGATAGTAGATAGGGTATCATCATCAGAAAATCTCCACAAAAATACCATTGATCGCCACGGCACTGCAGCAGCTTGCTCTGCTTCTGCGCCTGCTCCGAGCGCGCGGAACGCAGCGAGGAGACCGTGGCGCTGATGGAGCCGATGAAGGACGAGAAAACGCCCATGGCGAGCCTCGTGGCGGGAGACCCCGACACGTGACACAACGGTGGTTTCGGTGAAACCGAAGGAAAACCTATCTAGGAAAAACCTAGGGAAAATGATGGAAATCTGAAAAAACAGTTGATTATGATTATGATTATGATGGAAATCTGAAATCTGAAAAATCATGGACAATGGATTATGATCATGATCAAATGGTTTTACAATGTACAATTTGTACAAATGATTCAACTGCATGCTCGATGTGATGATAGCAGAATCAACATATTTATCACCTTAAAACATGTATTATTACAGATTTTACTCCCGCGCGACATACTTGAGAACTGGAAGGTCGTATTATATGTGATGCCTCAACATGAAAAAAAACAAAAACATATGCAAACTATTGTAAACTTGTTTTTTTGAACAAAAACAATTGCAATCATGGCCAAAAAATGACCTCGCAACCGGCAAACCGAGCCACAGAACGATCAATAGCGCGAACCACCTCGACAGCTCCGCGGTTGGGCGGTTGGAGCGCGTTTTGAATGTTGGAACAAGTAGCCAAAAGCAAAATAGAACATGTATGAACGTGTTATACACTTGCCATACTATGTTAGGATTGGATTTCATAATATTTCATATGTTTTGTTGGAATCTGTTTGATGGTTCTTATAAAGCCAAAAGCTTAAACCATTACAACTGTTACCAGAAATAGCTTGTCCAAACCAACTCCAATCAGAGGTTGATTGTTGGGTTTACCATATATAGTATGATTTAGTATGAACGCTTGCATTTGTTTATTTTCAAATGACTTTGGCAAAATTCATGAGTAATTTCTGTTCGGCCAGTTGAACAATGGATCGTACCCTGGCACTGGAAATAAACACTCTCGTAGAGAGGGGGTGCCTTGCAATACCTACAACAGTCCTACCTCCTCCAATTTACAGCACCATCGAGCACACAAACTCTTGCCGCGAAGACGGTTTCAGCATTTAAAGCGTAGACTTAGATCTGTCAGCTGTCAATGCTAAAAGGACAAACAAAAATACAAACTTAGACTTTCCAGAGATATGGCCCGAAATACCAGTTCTAAGTACTAACAAGTCACCCCATTTAGAGAATGTATAAATAATCCCATTGAAACCCCTTTTATAATATTAATAGTATAATTAATCCCATTGAAATCACCAGTTATAATACCCTCTGGTAAACTAACATAGCTATTAAAAATGGCCCAGTCGAAATAGTGGATATACCAATTAAAAATGGTGGATCTTTCCATAGTAAACCGTTAGTTTACCAGAGGGTAACTAATAGCAATGGTCAATTGAATTGCAGACTTTCCACCACTTTTTGCCACCCCAGCCGTGATGCCAGCCTCTCTAAGCCACTCACCGGCGCGATGTTCGTAGTGGCCGGGGTAAATTGCCTTGAACGGAAGCATGGAGGGTGCAGGTCGGGCTAACAAAAAAGGGGTGGAGAATTATTTGTTTTTCTTTTTGTCGGGTGAGTTTTTTTTTTCGGATTCCTGTTCCCTGATATTTGCAGCATTTAGAAGCTATATCCCTGGTTTTCATGTGGTATTTGCACAATTCGCAGTTCTTATGCTTGTTGGGGAGCGGTTAGGCGTTTAGGTGTGGGGGCGTGGGGGGTGAGGGGTGGGGAAGTTAAGGGTTTGAAGGTGTTGAACGTGTTAAAGGTGTTGAAAGTGTTGAAGGTGTTGAAGGCGTTGAAGGTGTTGTAGGTGTTGTTGGTCTTGTTCGTCTAGTTGGTCTAGTTGGTCTTGTTGGTCTTGTTCTACTTGTCCTTCTTGTTCTTTTTCTTCTTCTTGTCCTTATTGTCGTTGTCGTTGTCGTTGTCGGTGTCATTCGGGACTTAGGTGTGGGGGGAGGGGGGGTAAGGGCTTTGAAGGTTATAGATGATGCTGACGCTGACGCTGACGCTGACGCTGACGCTGACGCTGATGCTGTTGTTGTTGATGTTGTTGTTGTTGTTGCTGTTGCTGTTGCTTTGGTTGTGGTTTATGCTGTTGTCGTGAAGAGAAGAGAAGAGAAGGGAAGGGAAGAGAAGGGAAGGGAAGAGCAAGAGCAAGAAACTCAGGCAATCTCATCCAGAGATTACACAGAGGAAGAGAGACGAGCACATCGCATGATAGCACCCAAGCAGAAAGGAGAGAAGCATCAAAGCGCAGGCGAAGAACAGGAAAGAAACAAAGAGGCCAACAACATTAAAAATGTACAAGGGTTAAAGAACCAGGACCATACAGTATGTGCTAGGGTCAAAACATGGTATATAAATGTATATATAATGTATGATCATCCATCTCATAATGGCAATCCTTATCATGGATCTACAAATACCCATGAATGGATTAATGACAATTGCTTTTTTGGGAAAGTAACTTAACCCATGTTTTTGCCATGGCACATCAAACACAAAAAAGTAGAGAAATAAAACAAACACCAAAGCAAAACAGAAAGACCAAGAAAAGCAAAGAAACGAAAGCAGACAAGCCGAGACGCAAAGAAGTAGCAAAAAGCAGAAAAGCTAAAAAGCGAAAAAAAAAAACAACGGAGAAGCAAAGAAGCGGAAAAGCAGACAAGCAAAGAAGCATAGAAGCAAAGAAGCAGAAAAGCACAGAAGCAAAGAAGCAGAGAGGCAAAGAAGCAGAAAAGCAGAAGAAGCAGAGAAGCAAAGAAGCAGAGAGGCAAATAAGCAGAAAAGCAGAAGAAGCAGAGAAGCAAAGAAGCAGAAAAGCAGAGAAGCAAAGAAGCAGAGAGGCAAAGAAGCAGAAAAACAGGAGAAGCAGAAGAAGCAGAAGACGCAAAAAAGAAGAAAAGCAGAAAAGAAAAAAAAGCAGAAAAGCAAAAAAAGCAGAAAAGCAAAGAAGCAAAGAAGCAAAGAAAAAAGAAAAACAGAAGAAGCAGAAGAAGCAGAAGAAGCAAAAGAAGCAGAAGAAGCAAAAAAGAAGAAAAGCAGAGAAGCAAAAAAAGCAGGAAAGCAAAAAAGCAGAGAAGCAAAGAAGCAAAGAAAAAGAATTGAAGCAGAAAAAATAAAGCAAAAAAAAACCTCAAAGGCACCCAAAAGCAGAAAGCAATGGAAGGTGTGACAAAAAGGACGAAAAAATATCCCCAAAAGTTGGGAGATGGGTCCCCTAGAACTCTTTGTTTCGGATAAGTTGGGATGAAACTTGGATGATTCACAGGATCACATCACCATGACATACGGAGGGATCTATATCATGGAACAAACTTTGATGACCAGGACATTGATATGGGGCTCTTTACATGTAAAATCACCTCATGATGATATTCTTGTGGGATCTAAATGGATCTAGTGGGATCTAATTTCTATATGTATATATATATATATACACATACATATGATAATATATATATATATATTATATACATATAAACATTATACATAACTATAGAATGTATATATATATATAACAAGAAGGTTGGGACATGTTCATGTTGAGGAGAAACACCACTAGCTTTTCCCGGCAAGTGCCATGACGACAGGTCACGTTAACGCCCAATGCATAGAGGCAGCATAGGACGTTCCAAAGCCAGCCTTGGCCACGCACAAACTTGGCACCAGCTGAATTCAGATCTGACATTCAATATCTGGTGTGGTTATGTGTGGTTGATGTTTATCTAGTGTCTAGATATCTGATATGGTTGATGTATATCCATCTCGATTCTAGATATTTCTAGAGCAAGTCTGGAAGGTCAAATCTTTGACTGTCAGGATATATAGTTTCAAAATGTTTCAAATAGGAACTGCAGGTGGTTCCATTGCTATGCCTGTTTTGAATGTGGACGGATGAATCTGCACTGTAGGTTTGATGGTCGGCTGAAACCCATTCCCGCTGTCGACATGAAAACAGAGTAAACGTACAGCGCAAAGTACCAAGGCAATCAGTCAGTAATTTGATGGGTAGAAAGTCCATTCAGTAAGCGCAGGTGTAGTTTCTTATGATGACTCGAGTTTTAGGATTCCTGGTGCAATTTGGGTTGCAAATCCAACTGTTTTGTGCTCTTTGGTCAAAGCCAAACTCTTGGTTCCCGAAAAATACCTAAAATCTAAAAATACAAGGTTCATCCATTTTCAGGGTGCAGACTGAGCAAAATACTCTGATTCATCCAATGATGATTCGAAGACTTTACCAAAACAGTAACAGGGTGCCCCCAGTTATCAGCTTTTAAACCCTTCACTATTATGTAACAGCGTCTATGTCCAGCTGCGGCAAAGCACCGTTCGGAAACTGAGATCCCTGACGCGTTCCAAGCCCATGGATGCGACCCAATTGTCATCTTCCGCTCTCCTTCGCTCCGCTTCATGCTCGAAATCCAACGGCCGATGTTCCACGTCAAACTCACCGTTTTTTCTAAGTGCTTCATCACTGTTCATTGGAAATACCCTCTGGTAAACTAACATAGCTATTGAAAATGACCATTAATAGTGGATTTTCCCATTAAACATGGTGATTTTCCATAGCTATGTTAGTTTACCAGAGGGTACAAATCATAAATCTTCACACATAGTAAAACATATTCACATTTTCCACACAAAATCACCATCTTAGCACATGATCATCTTGGGCTATACCCACTCTATGGGAACCAACAGGACACAATTGTTTTGATAATATAAGGATATAAGGAATCACATTTCAACACAACCCAACAATGATAACCATGTCTATTAGGAATATCTTCATTGGGCCTGCGCAAGGTCAGGTTGTTCAAGTGGTAACTTCAAGGAGGTATATCTTATGTACCAGTCAAATTAGGTACCCAATAAATATGAGGTGGTTCAGTTGACCCATTTGACCAATCTCTGTAGCAATCTGAATCCCATTTCAGCCTGCTAGACTCCAGCCCGTGATCTGTTTTGGTAGTTTTAGTTTTGATATCCCAATTTTTATGGCTTGAACGATGAAACAATTCCATGGTTGGTTTTGAGTAAGTCCTGTTGCACTCTGATTACAAAATAAGGCCTACGAGTACAAGATTTTACAAGACCCATAAGATTGCAAGAATAACTTTTGGAATGTTAAAACAAAGACTTAAACTTGTAAAATTGAATTATAATGATTGTGTGCGTATATAAATATATACGATTGTTGAAAATCTGAAGATAGTTTCTTGTTTAACAAATCTTAACATGACTTAAATCATGAACCTCTAAGTCACTTTTTTGACCCCCCCCTTGACGGCAGTCATGGAAGCAAGACCGTACCAAACGCAGGCGACCAAATGGTTCATAGCAATCATCATACCTGCAGATGGGTGAATCGGGAGGGAATTTCACATAGATTTAGGATGTGTCATGCTATAAGTACCATAAACCATAGTTATTGGAGCTATAAACCAACTTAGCTATCTTGGGGGCCTCACATTGTGGGAAATTTCATTGAACATGCGGAATACCCTTCAAGTAAGATATGAACTATCAATTTCAATGGGACATGTAAGGATTAACCAACTTTGGGATAATTAGTGGGAATACTATACTGGTTGGTGGTTTCAAGCCATCTGAAAAATATGAAAGTCAGCTGGGGTTATTATTCCCAATATATGGAAATTCATAAAAAATGTTCCAAACCACCAACCAGACTATATTTGTTCAGATTCTCAAATGAATATTGGGATGTGGGGATGTAATACGAAATTGTCGATGATTTGATAGGAATGTTCACGGGATTTTTACCCATGAATATGAGGATATAAAGATAAATTAATCATTGATTTGCTGTGAATGTTCAATGAACATGGGGATTGATGGGGACAAAAACCGGGAAATTTGCTGTGAACAATTTTGGGAAGAGGTCAAATACGGACGCTGAATGGGGGCGACAACTCATTTCTCCTTGTTTCCATGGAGTGCTCCCTGGGACAAACCGTCGTTGGGTCGCTGGTTGTAACAACCAATGCATGGTTTGAAACCAACTGGTTGGTGGTTTCAATCCCTCTGAAAAATATGAAAGTCAGTTGGGATGATTATTCACAATATATGGAAAAATAACAAATGTTCCAAACCACCAACCAGATGTGGAACCAATCACGCTTTGGGATGTTTTGTATTACTTCAGTCCCGAGGATGGAGGTGTCCCTGACCCTGCTGCTGGGATGCCTCCGGCAGGACCGAGAACTCATGAGGTGGCCATGCCATGTTTCCGATATGGGCCATATGGGTTTTCTTTTCCCACAAACCTTCATATCAATCTTCTGGCTGCATCCGACCAAATTCACCATACATTTCAATGTTGGGTCATATGGTGATGTTGGTGTACTTCAACCAGACTTTATTTGGTAACAGCCAATGACACTAAATCATTAAATCATAAACCATCCCCAACAACGGTTCAATCCCAGCAATCCCACTTTTGATGCTGGAAAAAAAGAACTACTAGGCCCGAATGTATCATCTATTCATCATACGTAGAAAATGACTAGGCCCGAAATGAAGCGCTGTAAACCTTGGTTTTCGAACTGAATCATGCAAGATTATCATGAATATTGGCATATGCTTCTTATGAACCAGAGATCATAACATATCATAACTATCATTGTGTTTTAAACCAAGCACACACACACACACACCCCGCGACAAAATCGAGCGACCAAGTCCGGCCACAATTTTCATCACCTGAAGCGCAAGGCCAACCCAAAACGATATCAACCTGGGAATCAAAGGATTGCAACTACAGAGACTTAAGCAACAAGAAAGACATGGTTGCTCATGTATGATGATTATTATTCTGGTTGGTGGTTGACTAAACCATCTTGAAAAATATGAGTTCGTCAATGGGAAGGATGACAACCCATATATTATGGAAAATAAAAAATATTTGAAACCACCAACCAGTATCAACCAGTTATTATTACTATCCTACCCCCATTAATGGATAGTATCTCATATGAGCCATGACATAAGTCATATTCATCTGGGTATAATGTTTCACCAACCTGAAATGTTCGGCTATATTGGGATACTTCCCCTTACTAATCATCATGGCAGTGAGGTCGGAGTTACGCCGTTACAATTCATCCAGAGACATGGATGCAAATGGATGCACAGGGATGTTCTTCATCAATTGATGATAGCTTTCAGTTGGTTTATAATGCTAATGATTGGAATTATATGGATTTATGGACAGGTATGTAGGATAATGTAGGCTGCCCAAAAATAACCCCCCCTATTTTTTTAAGGGGGGGTTAGCATTCCAATAGTAAATTCCTGGAACCCAATAGTAAGCTCTTCTTGGAATCTGTCTGGATACTATACCATGCCCTCTGGACAAGGTCAGAACATGAGTTTTTTGGCAATACTAAAAGAAAAATTAGGCTAATTGACTTTTCGTATTGGAGACAAAACTGGAGTTGGGAAACAAGTTTCTACTATTGACAAGGTATCATTATTGGCTAGACAACATTATTGTAGCATAACTATGCATAACTATACATACATTTTGTGGGTCTCTGGAATAGTTATGTATGTAGGTTCATCTTACCCTGTCTAACTCTGGATCAATCTTCCCCCTACCATCGCTTGGGAGTCCCTTCCTGCATCCTCGAAATATCTCCTCATCTGAATTTCCAAGGGAGCATGTCAAAAAGTTGGGAAAAAGGGAACTGATATACAGATATACATACCAAAATATCTAGGCATACTAAACATGTATATTATACTATATGTTCATGTCCAGTATATCAAAAATACATACATGATCGTACATGTGTTAATATGTAAATGTACATGGTATGGAAAAAAATATCATGTTTAATAGGTAAATCAACGATCTAAATGTGCCATTTTCAATGGCAAACTGTTAGTCATTACTAGAGGGTATCCTGGGGTCCCTGGCCATAAAGGCGTGGGTGGAAAGGAAGCGATTGGCCAACAAAGTCAGCCTTGGGCGCGGGCTTTGCCCCGAAGCCATTCGCGGAGCGGGCTCTGGAGGAGAAGTTTTGGGTGATTGTACAGTTATGGCCCGAAATACCAGTTCCAAGTACTTATAACTCTTATAACCCCATTTATAGCATGTATAATACCAGGTACAACCAGTTATAATAAATGGCCACAACTGTAGGCCAGCAACAACCCGGTCAAAACTATGGTGAAACTATGCCAATAAATAGGGATTTTCACCAAGATCCATGGGAATATCCTGTGATTATCTAAGTGTGAATATCTTAACTATGGTTTATGGTAGATATAACATGATTTAACTATAGTTAACGGGGTTTATATCCATATATATATATACATATCTGGTTGGTGGTATACCTACCCCTCTGAAAAATATGAGTTCGTCAAGTGGGATGATGACATTCCCAACTGTTTCTGGAAAGTCATAATCCATTCCATGGTTCCAGTCACCACCAACCAGTAATAATATGTCTGGGATTGTCGTATTATATCTGTGTAAATTATAATATTTCACTAACCTGAATTAAGGCCATTTGGGGATGATTCCCCTTACTAACCATGATTCCAGCGAGGTCGCAGTGAGGTCGTTATAATTTACCCAGATTATATATGTCACTAACCAAAAAAATAGTTCGGCCATAAAAGGGGATGATTTCCCTATAAAAACCATGATTTCCAGGGCTCGGGAGAACAGGGCTCGGTGGTGAAATTGACCCAGGTCGTCTTACTAAGAAAGTCTCCATTCAACATGGGAATACAATGGGTACCATCTGGTTATTTAATAGCCATGGAAAATCACCATGCTATTAATAGGTAAACCATGGAAAATCACCATTTTTAATAGGTAAACCATGGAAAATCACCATTTTTAATAGGTAAACCATGGAAAATCACCATTTTTAATAGGTAAACCATGGAAAATCACCATGCTATTAATAGGTAAACCATGGAAAATCACCATTTTTTAATATATAGGTAAACCATCTATTTCTATGGGCCATCTATACCATGGCAAACTGTTAGTCATAACCAGAGGGTATTATGATGAAGATGCAAAACCAACCAACCCAACCAATATCTAGAGCTGGAATGAGATAATCATATACAAAACAAGATTGAACATACTTTCATGGTCAATCTGTGGTAGTTCACAAAAATGGTTATATGCCATTTATAGCAAAACAAACTGAACGATTAAAGTACCTATCCAAGGTTGGCCATGTAACCAACAATATTGAGCCCGAAAAATGTGATTGTTGTGTCAAACAATCAACAAATGCCACTCATTTTATGCCATTTTCATAGGGATAAGGAGGTGATTAACTCATGGATTCAGGGGTACTCTATTTTCAGACAAACCCACTGTCATCAGAATTCACCTAACCTGATTTGTTTTCCGCCGTTTGGGAATGCTTCCCCCAATCCTAACCATGATCTATGGTAAGTATATAGGACCATTTCATCCTGGATGTCCTGTCACAACCAGCGAGTTTTCAGACATTTCAAACAAGAATGACCTAATTGTTCACAAGCTGTTGTACAAAATCGTGCTGCAATATGAACAAGAAAAGACAAAACTGGAAACAAAATGGTTTGGCTTTGCTTTCAATTTATCTTAAAAGATGAGTTAGTCAACGGGGGATGTCATAATCCCACATAATTTTCGGGAAAATTCACACATGATCCAAATCATCAGCCCCATTTGTACCCACGGTCACTTTCTACCTCTTTTTGTCGCCTTTTCTTGAGGTTTCAACATGTTCAAATGTATGTCATATTTATATAGGTTCAAAACAAGCACAGGAAAAAAAAAACAGTATGTTCTCACCAATCTTGATAACTGATGTCATATTTATGGAAAAAAAACCTATTGTAAGTATTATGAAGTAATAATATGACATTAATATAACATATATATATATTATCATATTATGATACCATAGTTATATTATATGACATTACTTTCCCAGACGAAGTTCGGCATTTCTTTCCTATCCAGGACTACACCGCCGACAGGCCACTCGCGCGTCAATTTGATCACTCGCAACAAGCGCGCCAGGCGCAGCAAGCGCAAGATACGCAGATACCTTCCGAGGGTCACCGGAAATTGAAAGGGTTTTGGGATGGGGATTGATGGGAGAAATTCATGGGGAAACCATACAAAACTATAAAACTACGTATATAAAACCAATCATTTGATGGAATATCTATGAATATCTTATGCATCTATGGGATCTAATGAATCTAATGGATGATCAATGATCTGTGCCCCCGAGAATCTTCCAGTTACCTCTCAGATCTAACCCTCAAAAATCGGGAAAATCATCCCGGTTACCTATCTCAGAGGGAACTGGAACGTTCGCCGGGAAGGTAATCGGGGTATCAATCCACCCATAATGAGCTGGTTGGTGGTTTCAACCCCTCTGAAAAATATGAAAGTCAATGGGAAGGATTATCCCATATGGAAAAAAAAAATGTTCCAAACCACCAACCAGATGAGGATATTTTATGGGATCTAATGCACGCGAAAAATCTTGACAGCTAGTGCATTGTTGTCGTCGAGATGAAGCGTATTGGCTTCCCCACTCCCGCTCGCAAGGGGCCGAAGAATTTAATGACAGTTTTCCAATTCCGAGTTCTTTGAAGCCAAGATCCAAATCAAAAGAATACATGTGTTCTAATCCTGGACCTTCCAAATCCTGCTGTTTTTGTGTCAAAAAGATCAACGACGAGAAATCTGAATTGGGTCCAGGATTAGTAATTAGAGGAAGATACAAAAAATCCGCGGCAATTGGAGACCTTGGCATGGTGCTGACCATTCATAGTGGAATTCTCAGGGTGTCATCTGTGTAAATTGAACAGACGTTGATGCTGAGCACCTCAGTTACTCTCGTTTGATCGTTGGTGGTCTGTCTCTACGGCTTCATATATCAATATAATGATGTATAGTTAGATAAAATATAAATGTAATATTTATATATTACATCAATATATATATATACTAATCCATACATGCTGATGACGATCTCCACATTGCCCGTTTCGCCTGGCAGAACGGATCATGGATCCTTCCATGCCATTGGTGAGAACCGCTTCCAAGATGAAAACGAAGATGTCGATCAGCACGACCAACCTGGATTTCACAACCGCCTGGATTTGAAGCCAAGTTTCTGGTGGATTTCACTCGTCAATTTATGTGGATTTAAGATGATTTGGGGATGGGTCAAAACCCTGGCACCTAGTGAACTTCAAAATAGCTGGTAAATGGATGTTCATCCCCCTAAAAATGGTATTAATAGGTATTGATCCATACCCATATCTACACTAACCCATTTTAAGCAGTAACAATGACACATATTTCAATATTGGACCCATAGATCATGGAGGCTTCCAACCTTGTTTGCATGAAAATGGACTGAAAGTAGCTGACTATCAGCAGGTCGCCGCGATTGGTAGTGCGGTCAACGCTGCGGATCAGTTTTTCATAGCTGTTATCATACTTGGGGGTGTATCCCAGTTATTACATGGTGATCATAACCCATCTATAGTCCATGTAAGTGATGATTTTTTCTGTCCATGACTGTAGCTGGCTTTTTTTCTAGAGTCTAGAGTTATTGCCCTCTGGTAAACTAACATAACTATGGAAAATCACCATTTATAGTGGATTTTCCCATGAAAAATGGTGATTTTCCATAGTTTTTTGTATGTTTACCAGTGGGTACCCACTTAGTAATGGACATTTTTGGATCATAACCCATCCCCCCGCTGGGTGCACCCACCCATCATGGGCCCCGTGGGCCAAAGTTAAGCGGTTTTCAGGAGAAGATGAGCTTGGAAGATGAGCGTTATCTATGGGAAAGAGATAAATGTATGCGTTTGTTTGTTTCCATGGATATGATATGACATGACATGATATGAAATGATATGAAATGATATATATATATATATACATATTAATATATTAATACACTTATACTACATATATCTATAGATGTTTCCAGAGAGAGAATAGCGATGGGTGGTACATCATGTTACATCATGTTACATCCATGTCTTTGTCTATTGTGATGCCTGGTGTCCCACAACGTGGAGGATCTGTACCCGGCATCTGGGATCTGCCCTGAGACCCCGGTGATTTCTCCAAGTAGCACATCTAAGGCGAACCATGAACCTACAGCGGCGAGCACGGGGCTTCTCACGGGGATTCAATGATTGGTTAGCAAAAAATGCCACGGAATGAATCTATGATTTGGTAACTTAGTTTTGAACTGGAAAATTTAAAATAACACATTCAGTTATGGGGTATATATGGCCATGATATACCCAAAGTATACACATTTTTTTTGGTATAACCAGCTCATAACTGGAAGGTCATTTCCATCACTCTGAGGATTGATCACCATGTGGCCCATTTCGTCCTCAAAACTTGGGATTTGTTGAAAGAGTCCCAGAAAAAAACGTATCTTCGGATACATATTCCCTATAGATTTCCCATATTCCATCGTCCCTTTCCGATCTTTCCGATTTCCCAGTTCGGATTCGTCCAAGTCCGGGGGTATCAACTACCAGGCGACGAAGATAGATCTGAGCCAACTTTTTGGGACGCAGTTCCAGCGTTCCTTCGAGTTGGATGCCGAAGATGAAGTGCAACGGGATGTCCTCATCGGCCGATGTCAAAGAATGTCAAACAATAAGAAATCCCAATTGCTGATGGTGATAAATGGTGAAAAATCATGTTAATTCAGTTAATTCCTCCATTTTTTTAAAGATTTTTTCTCATGGTTAATCCTTCTGGTTTCTCGTGAAGCCCAAGATGAAGTGAAGAGATCCGATCGCTAGATGGCACCAGATCGCATCAAGATGGAGCTGTCCTCATAATACCGATACCACCAGATCTAAAACAATTGGGTCCTTTATTTTACGCACCAATAAACCGTGGAATCTTCCTTTAAAAAGGTGGCCATATACCGGCCATATACCCGTGCAAAATTTGTTCAGTGAAACCCCGAAGGGATTTACCCACGTGAATTCCCATAGGGGGAGAATGAACAACCGGGACTACCCTCTGGTTGTGTCAACAGTTTGCTATTGAAAATGGCCATAGAAATAGTGGATTTTCCCAGCTATAAAATTGTGATTTTCCATCGTTTTTTGTATGTTTACCAGAGGGTACAAGCCATTTTGATCTTCATAAGATGCTTGTTAAGAAACACTTAAAAAAATCCTCATGTACGAATCTTGGACAAACATCTAGCAGTAGAGCAATTTTTGTTTAATGTAAACCAAGGCTCTGTGGCTATGAGTTCTTTCTTCCAAGGTCAATTTCACAACTTGTCCACATACAGGGACATGTAAATCAATGAGGCCCCCATTCATGGGGTATAGTTGGTTAGCTATCTCTATTTGTTGATGTTATTAGTTATAGTCCATTGCCATTGGTTTCACTGGTGAGATATAAGTCTAGAGTTGGTTGGATATCTCTAGTTCTTGCTGATCTCATTATATTATTTATATTATAGTAATCCATCATCATTTTTTTTCATTGGTGTCACTGGTGATAGATCTCAATGTATGTTTGGTATACACATGCCTTGGCCTGCGCCCCGTTTAAACCGTTGCTCGGTGGGGATCCAGGAACTCGGTATATGATAGAACAGCTACCCCCAAACTAGTGATATGGTGGATGGTTGCGACATCCTGCACCAGTTGATAAATAGTTTACCCTCTGGTAAACTAACATAGCTATTGAAAATGGCCATTTATAGTGGATTTACCCATTAAACATGGTGATTTTCCATGGTTATGTTAGTTTACCAGATGGTATCCCATGATTCATAGGGCTTCAACCATCCGTTTGGTGGCGCAGGATTTCTGAACCATCCACAGCATATCACTATCACTATACTAAAACCTACGGTTTGACACATATTGACACCACCCATTTCTTGGAAAATATTGGAGATGGTTTATTGGGTTTACCAGAGGGTTTACCAATGTTTACCACAGTATTCACCTACCTACCCGTTGGTAAACTAACGTAGCTATCGAAAATCACAATGTGCTGTTAAATCATCTACAATAATAGCCATTTTCCATAGCTATCTTATATAGTCTACTGAATGCTAATCGTAGGCTGGTCGTTGGTATCTTCACCCTCGTGCCATCTTTTTCGCCGCTTCAGCCAAGGTTCCAAAGTCCAAAATGCAAAGGTGACAATGCCAGCCACATCCAGCCTGGGTTAAAAACAGCTGTGCCAGGTCTACCAAAACTTTTTTTAATGTTTTTTTCATTGGTGAAATGTTTGACTTTGAACTGTACGCTCTGGTAAACATACAAAAAACGATGGAAAATCACACCATTTTATAGCTGGGTAAATCCACTATTTCTATTATTTCTATGGTCATTTTCAATGGTTTTTTCTATGTTTACCAGAGATTATCATCCCATATCCCAGTATTCTCCCAGTATTATCCCATGATTATCCCCTGATTATCCCATGAGTTAACCGTTATCATTTCATGAAGTAACAATCCTCATCCCAGGCCGGGTAACTCAGTGCAAATTTGCCCAAATTTTCCGTCGGGTAAAAGGATGTGAAGTCCCCATTGACCGGGCCATGAGGGGTCAACCCCCGGCGAATTAGGATCCAATGAATTAGACGGTTAAGGTCATCATATGTCATCATTTCATGAATTTAATCCCATGATTATGATGCGCCCCCGTTCGATAGCGTTCAGTTGGTGCGTTTATAACTCCAATTTCACTATGGTTTATGGTACGCAAATAACTATAGTTAATGGGGTTTATAAACCAACTTACAACTGGGGGGCCCCACATTGCATGATCATGATTTGATTCCATCATTGTCCCATTCAAATCATCGTATGATCATAAATGATCATTGAAACCATTTTGAGCATAATGTACGTGATTTAATATATACACGTGGTTTAAAGTCATTTAATTCCATCATAAAATCGCGATGATTTGCACAAACAACTTTCACATTTTTTGCGATGGCTGGCTGCCCTAAAATTGGCTACCCCAAAAATGGTCCAGTCGTTAGTCACCTAGGCTACTCCCAAATTTGATGATTAATCATATTATGTTTTTTTTTGCCAAAAAAAGCTGGTCTACACCATTTTTGAGACACACTCAAATCCAATATTCATTAGGTCAATCGCATTTTTTTTGTTTATATATTTTATATAAATATGTTTATATAAATCCATTTTAATCCCTATTGCTGATGGTTAAATCCTCCAGTTGTCCGGCTGAAATTCCCAATTGTGTCCGAGGTACACCTGCATCAGCCATGACACGTTAAACATCTCCAGTGGCATCGTGATCCTTGAGGGAAAAAATGAGTGGATTCAAACGACTTAAACTGATTATAAATCAATGGTCATTCCAGGATCCTAAAATGGAGGTACGTTAGTACCATATAAGGCCATATTCTGGAGGTATATCCCCTTACATAGGCCTGAAAAATAGGCCTTATATATGGTAGGTACCTCCAATCAATCGGTTCCTGAGATGGCCAGTGAATAAATACTAACAGACTTGGCAAACTAGATCGGGACAATGAACTTTTTGAAGAACTGGTGGTACTAAACTATAACCATGGGAAACCATGGGGAAATGTGGGTTTAATGGGATTTATAGCTGATTCATGATAGCTAATAGCTGGCTGAATTATATATCTGGTTGGTGGTTGAGCCCTACACGTCTGAAAAATGATGGAGTTCGTCAGTTGGGATGATGAGATTCCCAACATATGGAAAGTCATAAAATTCATGTTCCAAACCCCCAACCAGGTAATAAACTATAAAGAACTGGTGGTACAGGGATGTGAATGATCGTGAATGGGGATATACAGTACATAAATGTACATAAATTGGAAACATTATCCAAGTAAGTTATCCAGGTAACATTACTTAATGGTCCTAAGTGTTTGTTTCCTGGATTTTTTCTAGCGGTTCCTCCGCTTGTCTTGTATGATTATTATGATTCCACGCCACAACAAAGTCCTTTCCAACTATTGAGCACCCTTCACTACGGGACCGCAGAATAGATCCAATACTGAACCCGGATGTTGTTTCGGAGAAAATTCTGCATACCCTCTGGTAAACTAACACAGCTATGGAAAATCACCATTTTCAATTCGTAAATCAACTGTTAATGAGCCATTTTCAATAGCTATTTTGGCATAATCACAGGGTAAGGGGCATGCGACTATCACCATCTTACGTACCCCCACGCGCCAGGCTGGCCAGCTGGCCACCCTGAAAAAACTCAGGTTCTTACTGCATTCACCCATTTATCCCAAAGAGCACATGAAACAACAGGTAAACACTATACATATATATATATATGTATGTACATATGTGTATGTATGCATATGTACAATGTATATACATGTATAGTATATATATATATTATACAATATACATAATATCATAAATGGATAAAAATAGTATCTCTATATATATATATATATATTCTCCATATATATGTATATAGTTATTATTATTATATATACTACATATGTATATATATATATATCTCTTCGGATTCTCCGTCCAGTGATGGCCCAGCTTTGTTTTCGCGGTAAGCGTCACATCCCACAGGATAAAAACGCAGGCAAGCATGGACCACGCGAGCTGCCTTGGGGTGTCTGTTTTTTGGTGGGGAAGATGATGATTTATAAAAACATATAGTCGTAAACTAACATATTATAAATCTATACATACATACATACATACATTACATTACATTACATTACATTACATTACATTACATTACATTACATTACATTACATTACATTACATTACATTACCATACATACATTACCATACATACATTACATACATACATACATACATACATACATACATACATACATACATACATACATACATACATACATACATACATACATACATACATACTACATACATACATACATACATACATACATACATACATACATACATACATACATACATACATACATACATACATACATACATACATACATACATACATACATACATACATTACATACATAACATACATACCATACATACCATACATACCATACATACCATACATACCATACATACCATACATACCATACATACCATACATACCATACATAACATACATACATACCATACATACATACATACATACATACATACAACATACATACATACATACATACATGCATGCATACATACATACATACATACATTACATACATTACATACATACATACATTACATACATTACATACATTACATACATTACATACATTACATACATTACATACATTACATACATTACATACATTACATACATTACATACATTACATACATTACATACATTACATACATTACATACATTACATACATTACGTACATTACGTACATTACGTACATTACGTACATTACATACATTACATACATACATACATACATACATACATACATACATACATACATACATACTTACATACATACATACATACATACATTACATACATACATACATTACATTACATACATTACATACATACATACATACATACATACATATATATATATTAGTAAGAACATCCCTGTTGGAATTCGAACCAAACCTGGGGGTTCCATTCTATAGGGACTAAAACGCAAACCCAGGACTAAGGGGGGGATTTTCCCTATAGAATAGAAACCCAAGAAAACCAACAGAAGCCCTGCCACTCCTATAAAATGAAAACCCAGCATCATACTGGCCACTGCTTCTAACGGATAATCCACTATAAAATGAAAACCTGAGTCCAAGTGATTAGGAAAAAGACCCCCTATAAAATAGAAAACTGGGTTTGCAATGCCTTAAGTTTGGTTTCAGTTTTTGGATCTGGGCTGGCACCATTCCACAAAAGAATCTACTTGGTGACTATTTTATAGAGGGGGGTTGGATTTCCATTTTATAACCACTTGGACTCAGGTTTTCATTCTATAGTGGATTATTTGTTAGAAGCGGTGGGTATGAGGCTGGGTTTTCATTTTATAGGAGTGGAAGGGGAGGTGTCAGTGGGCAATAATATTGTAAATACTGTATGATACTGTAAAATATTGACACATACTGCATACGAATAAGTAATCAACACTGTTAACGAATCAGTTTTGTGCAGGGCTGCTCCTTTAAAAATGGAGATCCAACCACTCTTCTAAAAATGGTTCCCAAGGATTTTTTTGCTTGAAAGGTGCCAGCCCAAACGTGAACCACATTTTGGGCCTTGGAAATAGCGGTTTCTATTCTATAGGGGGCACCTAATCACTTGGACTCAGGTTTTCATTCTATAGTGGATTATTTGTTTGAAGCGGTGGCCAGTATGAGGCTGGGTTTTCATTTTATAGGAGTGGAAGGGGAGGTGTCAGTGGGCAATAAAACTGTAAAATATTGAAACATATTGTAAACGAATAAGTGGTCAACACTGTTAACGAATCAGTTTTGTGCAGGGCTGCTCCTACAAAATGGAGATCCAACCACTCTTCTAAAAATGGTTCCCAAGGATTTTTGAAAGGTGCTAGCCCAAACGTGAACCACATTTTGGGCCTTGGAAATAGCGGGTTCTATTCTGTAGGGGGCATGTTTCCTAATCACTGGGACCCAGTTTTTCATTCTATAGTGGATTATTTGTTAGAAGCGGTGGCCAGAATGAGGCTAATCATACTGGCGACTGCTTGTAACAAAATCTAACAAACAATCCACTATAAAATGAAAACCTGAGTCCAAGTGATTAGGAAAAAGACCCCCTATAGAATAGAAAACTGGGTTTGCAATGCCTCAAGTTTGGTGTCACTTTTGGGTATGTAAACTGCATGGGCGCAATCCAGGTACCATTCTATAGTAAACACTGGCCTACCAGCCTCATCCCTATAGAATCGTACCCCCAGGTGATCTATTTTATAGAGATTTTTGAAAAGGAGGATGTAAGAACTATATAGTGGTACCAGCTGGTGAACTAACATAGCTATCATAGTGGTACCACCAAAAAAACTATATGATGATGATCTATATATTATACATGCTGGTAAACATACAAAAAGCTATGGAAAGTCCCCTATCAATGGAGGGTTTTTCATGGGAAAAAGATGGAAAAAAACCATCTGTAAATGGATGAGGAACCATAATTGTATAGCTAGGGGATCCACTATAGATGGTTAATATCACAATATCCTGTGATATACACTCCAGTAAACTAACAGTTTGCTATGGAAAATGGAACATTTAGTGTGTTGAATTACCCACAAAAAAAAGGTGATTTTCCATAGTTATGTAAACGTTTACGAGAGGGTATGTAGGAAGGGCCTCCTGGATATCTAAGTTGGTTCAGTCCTAGGTTCAGTGAAGGTTTAGAATATATCTAGTTAGATTGGGGGGTTCAAACACACAGAACCAAACTGTGGCGACCCCTCCCGGAAACGATAAGGGAAGGCGAAGTGGGTCTCTGAGGGGTCAACTAATCACAAGTGGGGAGGTCACACTCCAGTAAACATCACAGAAACTATGAAAATCCATGATTTTCCTTTGGAAATTAATCATGTATCTACAAGTGGTGGCTTTTCCAACAGTTGGTTGAATGAGGGTGTAACTTAGGTTGTCTGCCCACCCATTTTTCTTGGGATATGCCCAAGATGGCACTGTTCATGGTTAAACTACGCGATCATGATAAACCATGGTATCCTATACTTGTAGACAATCTGACATGAGGGTCACCCATTGGATCACAAGTCTTGTCCATGTGCAACCCACGTTTCACCAACCAATAAAGTCGTTTGGAGATGTGCTGGTGCAATCATGATTCCCTCATTCCCAAATCCTTGTTGGTGTCGGCCCCAAAAATCATGTGCCCAAATGTACACAGGATTGTCTGGTTATTACATATCAGTATCCATGTATATCCCTTAAACATGAAACAACACACCTGGTCGCTGTGATTATTTTTAGATTCCCCTGATGGTTTTTGTCAGTCCCGATACCCTCTGGTAAATTAACATGACGACCCTGCCATTTTTCGGGGTTGGAAGATTAGTTTCCACTATAAATTGGTCAATTTCAGGGTCTATGTGAAAATTTACCAACATAACTATGGAAAATCACCATTTTTCATGGGAAAACTCACTATTTATATGGCCATTTTCAATAGCTATTTTGACATAACCAGAGGGTATCACTCTTGGTGATAAGGGATTCAAACCATCCCTATATATTCCAAGCCATCCAATGATTCCCATTGGCAATGCATGACATCATGCCAGAGTAATTCTCAATCTCGTTGGTGATATACATATTATAGTATATCAAATGACATATGTGTATATCATAGTATATCAAAATTATAGTACATAGTATATCTGATTTATAGTATAGTATATCAAACTATGTATAATGATATAGTATATCAAACTGTAGTATAATATATGATTGTCAAACTATATATCATAGTATATCAAATGATATAGTACATCAGCTATTCCTGCATATTTGATCATCAAATTCCATGTGTTGGGTAATCCGACAACAGAAAAATCAGGTTTTGGAGATGGGTCAAACCAGTTAAGTTTTTTCCAAATAAATGGAACATGAACCTCCTTTCGCCAACTGTGTTGATGTTCACCAAGACATACTCTTCGGCTTTATAATGATTTAGAATGTTAAATCATCACCAGATGATTCCTTATCATATCTTATAATGGTAGTACCATACAGTATGTAAGTCCATGTAATTCCCTAAGATTCTTCATCATATCTTATAATGATTATAATGGTATATAATTATATAATGTACCATAAGTCCCTAATGTAATAAGTCCCTAAATAATATATATATATATACATATAATGATCCCTAATTATTATAGATTCCTTATCATATCTTATAATGGTATATAATGGTATTATAATGGTATCGTATCTTATAATGGTATATAATGGTAGTAAGTCCCTAAATCTTCCGATGGATTTTCCCATCCCGTCGAGCGGAACCATGTCACGGTGTGCTGTGAGGTCCACAGACGAAGCGTTGCAAACAGCTGTCGTCCGTCACGGCGTCCTGTGGCTTCCGAAGCGAAGCGTCACGGAGAGGTGGAGATTCACCGGGAAATCGCCAGCAGGAAAGAGCGATCGTTAAATGGGGATGTTTTTGCGAGTTTAGTCCATGAAATGAAAATTTAACTGTGAAGAAATATATGAACATCGTGATCTACCTATGACAGATTATGAAAACCGTGAAATTCATCAGTGAAGAAACGGATGATCCTCCATTAAAGGGGCTATCGACACGCATTTTGAGGCACTTGTTCATGGGGTTAACCAAAGGATTTAGGCTATACCCCATTCTGACATGCCCATATTTGAATGAGTTGAGCTGACTACCCAGCCCCTGGGGTTTTACCTGGAGTAAAAATGGGGGGATGCCGGGATGTCCAGTGATACAGGGAGGATCCCAGGAAGTTCGCGAAGCTAAGACTGCTAAGAACTGCAATATTTTGGAGACAATAAAAAACATCTATGCAAACTATGGCTGGTTTATAAACAGTTTGATCAAATTTGTCCCCGCAAAGTGTGACAACCCAACCTTTAGTTTTCTTTAGCTTCTAATTTCATGTTTCCTCGCCACACCTCGCATCGAGGGATGTCAGCCTGGAAGTTCCCACAGAAAGTCTCCCCTATAGGTTCAGCCGTTGGGCACTTGGGCACTTCCACACAATGCCCAGTGGCGAAGGGTTCCCCAGGAAGTTTCGGAATCTGATGATGCTGATTCATATCCATGTGATCATCATCATCGTCATCGTCATCGTCATCGTCATCATCATCATCATCATCATCATCAATACTATATTGACAAAATATATTCCAATAACCCCCAATAAAATAAAATAGAATAATATATTTATATATATATATAAAGTGCAAACAACCCCCCCCATTGTCGCCTTACCCTTCACCAGGCTTTACCCTTTATCGTTGTTCGTACGCATGTTCAACACTTAATGCGTCCAAGTCACGTTGATCTTCAGCGACATATTCCTCATGTGTTTTGGTGTTTTGGCTGGTTGCCCTCCTGTAAACTGACATAGCCATAGTATAAATGGATATAAATGGCCCATATCTATAGATGGTTTACCTACAAAAAAACATGGTGATTTTCCATCGCTTCCCGCTGAGTCACCTTGAGTCACCTGATCCCTTCCCTGGTGAAACATCAACCGAAGCCAGGAACAGTACATGTTTGCAGAACCATTGTAGAATCAATGGATTGGTTTGTTCGGGAAAATCTAAACCGGAAACCCATGGGTTTTTACCATCAAATATAGGGGTTTCCTGTAAATTGTCCCATCATCCAATTCTATGATAGAACCATTCACCACAGAGCGGTAGCCCTACTATACATGGGGAAAATAGGTGGCAAAAAACCACGCGCCCTGTGGCGAATGGAACCCCAATGGTTCTATCATAGAATTGGATGATGGGAAAATGTTAACCGGAAACCCCTATATTTGATGGTAAAAACCATGGTTTCCGGTTTAGATTTTCCTCCCTTAAACCAATACAGGGCGGTAACCCTATACATGGGGAAAAGAGGTGGCAAAAAACCACGCGACATCATTGTGAGAATAAACTGATGACCCCCTACTAGTTGTCCCTATCTATATCCAAATACCGTTGGAATTGAAACTACAATTTGACCAAGGAAACCTGTACTTATAAACCAGTTATGGTGTACTTGCGCCGTTCTTGTTGTTGTTATCAAATATTCTTCTTGGTTCATATCACCATTGAATCATGAGTTCTGTCAGACAACTTCGATTTCAATGAAATCTCCCAAAATTGTCAGTGGTTCAATACCCACAATGTGGTGCAGTCATAAGTTTGTTTGTAGATACCCAACACAACTGGACCAGGGCAGAACAAAAATCTCTCACAGGGATGGTGATAACTTTGCCCATCATGATAGGGCCCCACACAATAGATTCATTTCTTACCCTCTGGTAAACATACAAAAAGCTATTGAAAATGGCTATTTATAGTGGATTTTCCCATTAAAAATGGTGATTTTCCATAGTTATGTGAGTTTACCAGAGGGTAATCATGAGTGAATCCCCAGCTGCAAGTAGTTATATGTCACTTTTTTTCGTAGATACTTACAGGAACTCCAAAAAAACAGATAGCAGTTGGTCAAATCTGAATTGGACCCGTTCGGGGTCAATCGCTGCTGCCTTCATTTCTTCAATATCGCTGTCTCCTGGTTCGTAGGTAGCGATCGAGAAGTGCTCATCCTGCTCGGATTCGTCGCTATCCCCAGTGGCAACCCTATCAGAAACTGAACCCAGAGGTGCAAATGCCGAGATGCTCGGAGGGGGACCTGGTGGAGAGTGAGGTCGCCGGTCGTCAGGTTGCTGATCATCAGGTTGCTTGTCCTTCCAATTGCCCCAGGTGTCATCAGCATCTGGCGTAGGAATAAATTCCGGGTCCAAACCTCGAGGTGCAGGTGTCAGCACAATAGCATTCCGGGATGGTGTTCGGCTGCGGCGGGGAGGATCTGGAGTACGATGTCGGTGAGGTGGATCTGGACACCTCTTCTGCATCATCAACCCCAAATGTTTTTGCAAGTGAACCATTATATAGCCACTATATCCCCATCACATGTCCCATTATATTCCTACCATATCGTTAGGTATCCCCTCCGATAAATATATCCATAATATATATATAGTATATCATTGTATTTTTGTTCAGTGATTTATATATATATTTTAAATACATATATAAATTCTCATTGTCAACAAACACATGATATATCCAATGAATATTGGGTCCATTATGTATATATATATATAGCACCATCATATAGTGGTATACGATTCCCAATATTGATTGAGATAATGTAAGAAACTATATACTATATGATTATATGTATATTAATACTGGGGCCATTATACACTATATATATATATATCTCTATCTATATAATCCGTTCCCCCTAATACTACCCCCTGCAAAATAATAAACACCTCAGGTAGTCTTTGTTATTAGGGAGTATTTAGTATTGGGGTGCGAAGCATCCCCCTAATACTAAATTTAAAAAAATATAATATATATATATATATGTATGTATTAAAATATACATACATACATACATACATACATACATACATACATACATACATACATACATACATACATACATACATACATACATACATATATATATATATACAGTATATTTTTTCTATTTCAAAATCGATTAGATTTCCTCTTAAAATCTAACGAAAAATTTACCAAAAAAAGGATTTTGACGCTTTCCCCTAATATTGTAAATATAGAATACTTTGTTTATTTCCGACCTTAAAAGACGGACCCTTATAAAAAAAAAAAAACAGGGTTGACTAGTTTTTACTATTAGGTGCTGAAACCCACAAATGGTAGCTTCATTTTTAAATTGTTTTCTAAAGGGGATCTTTGTTCCAAGTCAAATTGGCCAACCTCAAATTTTCCAAAATGGGAGACGGACCCTACTTTTTATTCCCCACATTGACGTGTGGGGTTTTTGTTTTTAGTTCTGTATCCGCGCCTCCTCCTTCCTCCTCCTTCCTCCTCCTTCCCGTCCTCCCCGTCCTCTTCACTCACTCACTCACTCACCCACTCACTCACTCAATCACTCACTGACTCACTCACTCACTCACTCACTGTCAAGGGGTCGGATGTACGCCCCGGGGTTCCGCTGGCGTCCCTGGGTCTCCGCTTCTTTTGCGTGGCAGGCGTGGGGGACAATGTGCACTCACTCACACACTCACTCAATCACTCACTCACTCTCACATCCCTCACTCACACAGACCACACTCACATCACTCACACACACCACACTCACACACACCACACTCACATCACTCACTCACACTCTCACTCACTCGCCTGTACATGCACATACATACACACACACACACCCTCCCCACCATCACCCCTCCATCACCCCTCCATCACCCCTCATCACTCACCCACCATCACCCCTCCATCACTCTTATCCTTCCCCTTCCCTTCTTGCTTTTCTATGCTCAGTCTAAGTCTAGAGAAGTTGGTAACATGTGGGGTTATCCGGTCCTATAATTATTTGGGGGGTTCGTAATGAGATTGTTAATATTGTTGGTTATATCAGTTACTGTACATCTACTCCCATTCATATTCCCAGTGTATTCCCATTAAAATCATTAAATGGTATCCCTCATGGTTCAGTGTGTTAGCCATGAGGTAAAATGGTAATAAAATAATATACCAATGTTTATCCCACTATTAAATGGTATCCTCATTGTTTTTCACTGTTTCCCTCATTAAATAAAATATCACATTGCCTTCCCAATCTTTCAGCCATGAAATCCCCGAAACGCCGCCGAGGCTCTTGGATAAAATGCTCACCTGGCGACGAGAGTTTTGGAGTTTTGGCGACGGAGATAGGTTTTGCATAGCTATGCAAAACACACGGAGAACACGGAGATGTTCATGGGAAAATCAATGAAGAAAAACATGAGAATATATGAGAACTAATATGGGGAAATCCTTTAAGATTAATGCTGTTTATCTAGGATTATCCTAATATCTATCTGTTTGTCTATGTCTAGCTATCTATCTGTTTTATCTACTATATTCTAATATTATTTAATTACCTAACTATCTGTCTGCTCCCCATTTATTGCCAGTCTAATGGGTAAGACGATGATCAACTGTCAGATTTTGCAGGTTTGCCTTTAAACTTTTCTTGCGACAAACCCAAATATGACCAAGTATTAAGTATGCTTCGTCCGCAGCAACAAAGAGCAGGTATTCGTTGTCCATGGCACCGCGTGAGCTGCAAGAACATCCATGAAAATCCCTGATGCAGGTTGCTTGTCGGCTTTGCTCTATAGACTCTATCATCCTTGTGAAAAATCCAGTACAAATCGAAGCACTCATCATGTGCAAAACCAAACCTGTCAACCCCGAACCTGCTGGTTGGTACGAGTATGTAGAGGTTTCTGTAGTGAAATATATTGGATCAACATACTCGTGCTTGGACCAGTTAGAGCAGTCCCGATAGAAACGATAGAAACACAATATGCCAGTAGACTTCACTATATATGTTTTTTACTCAATTCTGTCATTTTGGGGGTTGCGAAAAACTGTGGCAAACCCAGCAACAAACCAAACCCAGAAACCAACCACTGGGGCTGATTTCACACCATCTCATGACTAGGGCTATACCCAATATTATAAGCCCAAATTGGAGGATGGTGTATGGCATTTGGGTTACCACATCAGTATATACCCTCCGGTACTCAGACATGGTTTGCTGGAAAATTAACTAACAGTTCGATGATTTTTCCGAGCGAACTAACCCTATACAGATGTTCCCATCATGTTCGGATGATTTTCCCAGCTAGAAACCTCCATTTATCAAGGATGATCCTATAGTTCCGAAAAGGGGCTCAGTGGGATCCATTTGCTCGTCATTAAAATCGCACCCACCAGTGTACTCAAGCTTGTCGGAGAAAAGTATGCTGAAAACCTTTGCCTGTGAATGATGCAGGAAGCCAGCAGGGCAGCTAGAAGGCATCTGGTTGGTGGTTTCAACCCTTCTGAAAATATGAAAGTCAGTTGGGATTATGATTGCCAATATATGGAAAGTCATAAAAATCATGTTCCAAACCACCAACCAGGCATTCCTGTTTCGCAGAACTTTGTTCGTCGACACTTTGTTGGGGCACCTCCCTTCTCCATGGCCCAACCTTGACCCTCAACTGGCTCGTTTACGGTTTGCGAACTGGAAAGATCCACCATAGCTATAATATTATAATGGCTAAATCCACTATTTCGACTGGACCATTTTCAATAGCTATGTAACAAATTACCAAAGGGTATCAGAAAACCTTTCTCCAAGAGTTCCATTCTCTCAACCAGCTCCAGTAACGGATCCGAGCCCTTGTCTATAGCTGGGTTTGTCTGATAGGGTACCCCCACACCCAATGGATCGTCATTATGCCTATTCAAGTTGGCCATATGTGGGATTGCCATGGATTTTCCCAATTTCTTACGACGCACCAATTTTTTCATTGCTGCATGATATACCTACACTGTTACACCCCCCGAAAAATATCATCCAAAATATTGGGGAAAATCAAAGCCATGTTCCAAACCACCAACCAGATTAACTATAGTTATATCTACCATAAACCATAATTATTTAAGCCACTTATCTACCATAATTACAATAGATATATTTACGCCATGTTCCAAACCACCAACCAGATATTCATATGTTCCTACGATTTTCCTATAATTTTCCCACCCATTTCTGGAGGATTTCCCATGCCATATTTGGCGGCACCGACACCTGATATGCACTTCGACCCGTTTGTTGAGCACCATCCTCGGGACAGTGACCAGATCCGAGGTGCAAACGTTTGGTAGCGAAAGTGGTGATTGAATGGGATTTCAATGGAATGTAAATGGTTGATGTAAACTAAAAGTTCTTAAATTCTAGAGAACAACAAGCCTACTGCTTGTGATTGTTCATTATATAATTCATATTAATGTTCATATACTACTTGTGGAATTTATAACTTAAATGCTACTTTGAGTCATACCTGGCTGGTGGTTTAAACCCTCTGAAAAATATGAAAGTCAGTCGGGGTTACTATTCCCAATATATCTGGAAAAATAAAATTCATGTTCCAAACCACCAACCGGATATAGTTTGTACGGCTTCTGCTTTGCAATTATATTGGATTATGTGGTTCAAGAAATGGTTTATGAATGTTTATGACAATTATGTGGATCATTATTCTTTATGATTGTCTTCAATTTGTGGTTCATGATGTGTTTGGAGGTTTTTCTGGATTATAATGATGATTGTCTTATGCAATTGCCATCTGGTTGGCGGTTTTAACCATCTTGAAAAATACGAAAGTCAATGGGAAGGATTATCCCATATATTATGAAAAACAAATGTTCCAAAGCACCAACCAGTACCTAACATATATAGATTCATAGGATTTTCCATAAACCAACCATTTTGGGGATCCATTTATGGACCCCCCTTATAGATGCCGTTTTTCTCTTAGGTCCAGATTTGGGTTCCTTTTCAGCTCTGACATCAGCAAACGCAGGGACGGACGAGCCCACAATGGGCCGAGGCTCGTGCAGGGAGACTTTCCAGGTGTCGCGCATCTTTAATGCGCCCTTGTTGGAATTCAGAGACCTTACGCAGTCGTTGGAATCTGGTTTCAGGGGATTTTTTTTAATAACTGCTTGGTGGTTGAGCCCTGCCCCTCTGAAAAATATCAGTCAGTTGAGTCAGTTGGGATGATTATTCCCAATATATGGAAATTCATAAAAGTCATGTTCCAAACCACCAACCAGATACAGAAAAGCCCGATATTTGATGGCAAAAACCAGGAAACTTCCTGTAGATGTTCCCTGAAACCATTGATACAGTGTCAAGACATGCCAAGACTGGGTGGGGTCCATGATACCAGGGAGATGTGGTGGCAACAAACAAACACAAAAGGGGGATGTTAAATTATGTTCTTGCCAGCATAACAAAGGAAAACACATGGGAACAGTATATGATCAAGGAGCATGAACAAACACTTCCACCATCAAAAACCTTTCTCTCATTATCAAAAGTGGTGATCCATGTCAATCGACTTAAAGTGAACTTGGTATCATGCTATTGCCCATGTCAGAAGTGCTGAACACTCTCTACAATGTGGCCCCCAAGCTATAACTCGCTTTATAGGTTAGATCTAACTAATTTGATATATCCCTCATCAACCCTACAACGTGAGGCCCCCAAGATAGCTAAGTCGGTTTATAAGTCCAATAACTATGGTTTATGGACGTTTATGGTATTTATAACTATAGTTACTGGGGCGTATAAACCAACTTATAACTGGGGGGCCTCACATTGTAGATATTGGAGTGAACTATATAGTAACTAAAAAAACTTAGCGATCTTTAGGGCACCACAATGTATCGAAACTGTATGTGATACAGTAATTTGTTGTAATTAAGGGAATTGTTATGATCGTGGTTATTGATTTACTTATTAATCAACATTAACGTGGATACAATAATAAACCATCCCCCAGAAATATCACCAATTTTTAAAGGTGGTATAAACCTACCATTCCCAGTCATGAGTGGTAAACATGACATTGTCTTACCCACATTATGCTTGTATTTATCATCCCTTTTCTGTGATTTGGGATATCCAACTGCCCCTGCACCGTGCTTCTCAGATTCTCTCTGTCACTTGCCTAGGGACACGCTTTCCGTCTCCTCTTCTTTCCCTGCGGATAGCAACCAACTGATATATTGTTTTTTCATAAAGGGCATAAGATGGGAATGATGAAATGGTGATATATCTGGGTAAATTACAATATTTCACTAACCTGAATAGTTCGGCCATTTGGGGGTGATTTCCCTTATTAACCATGATTCCAGTGAGGTCGAACAGTGAGGTCGTGATGAAATTTACCTAGATAAATGATATATTGCAACATCATCACGGGGATATCATTTATCTAATCATTGAGTGACGAGTGATAGTTAAGATGGTCCCTGTAAACCATGAAATGGTGGTATATTCATGGGATATGACTAATTAACCAAATGATACATTACATTGCCAATCTTAGATACCCTGCAAAAAAATCTTTGCTGGTTAGTAGATATTCCCATTGATACCAAAGGACTAAAGGATTAAAGTATCCATCTAAGATTAACCTAGATTATATGTTTGCACCATTTGATGGAGATACAACCGCATGTGTCCGAACCAGCAGTGTTGGATATGGTGTCCAAAAATGATGGTTTTACACCCCATCGATGGCCATTAAAGAATGAGAACATGATGATACCCCCAAATGGACTCTTTGAAAATCATGTTGCTTGTCTATCTTTTTGTGGGTTGCTATACCAAAGTCATGTATTTTTGCATAGTTTTGCTGGGTAACAAGCCATAGTTAGCTAGCAAAAATCATGGACCCTCCCAAGTCTGACTTGGTTAAAAAAACAAAAAAACAAAAACACTGGTATCAGACTGGCCTAGGGGGAGCCCAAAACTTATGGCCCAACCGGCAGTTTGCCGAAGGCCGCTATGGCCCAGGGAAGGGATTCCCATTCCTTGGGCCAGGTGAGCCTTTGAAGATGTTTTGTGAGGAAAATTGGTGAAAACCATGTTTATAGTACTTTATAATTATAAGCTTAAATAGTACTTCAAAAATAGTACTAAACCCCTAATTTCATAGTACTTTAGTACTTTCAGAGTGAACATGATCAACCGGATTCCAGGATTTTTCAGAGGCCGAGGCCGCCGAGGCTACAGGATTTTCTTCGTGATTCATTGGATCAGTTGGAAATCGCGAAATGTCGAAATGTATACACCGTAGAAAATGAAAAAAATGATCAAATCCATTAAAAATCAACAGGACATACTTAAAAAAAATGTCAACCATTAAATCTGAGAGATTCACATTCTATTGACCCAACCGCCAATAGAGGTCTGGCAACTATCCGAGTTCCGTTGCTGGATTGCAAACCCATAAGCCTCATGTATGGTATGCATACCTACATGAGTGTGACATGTTAGGGGAAAGTGTTGGCATATATTACACACATCATTTGGGAATATGAACCACTGAACCACATACAAAAGTCATACCATTCCAATGTCTAATATACATGGCATGGCCGCACTCCCCCAGAAACCAGCATGTTGGGATGCCTTCCTAGAATTGATCCCTTGGCTTTCACAGTCTTTCAAAGTTTCAAATCCAGCATCATGGCATCAATGTATGCTTCATGTCACAAAACACAAGGAGTCCCAGCCCAGCGGGGAAAAAAAAAACATGAGATGAGGTGCCCCCCCAGTTATAAATAGCTCATAATCCCCATGAAAACTAGTTCGATATATCCCCAACTAAACCATAGTTAATTGTTGCACTTATCTGCACCAACTTATAAGTATATCCCCTATAAACCATAGTTATTATCCCCTACAAACTATCAACCATAGTTATTGCTAACGAACTTCACCGTTCATGGCTGCAGCGGCTCCGCTCCGCTGCCGCCTTGTTCCAAGAGTTTGACCACGAAGCGCGTCCAGGGAGGCAGATCTTCAAATTCCTGGAGCTACGCATGAGATCCTCGAACAGCATATTAGGCACGTTGGAACATCGAACTGAACATCGGTCACTGTATAACTACAGTTTTTGCCCAACATGAAATATTGGTTGTTTAAGATAGATTCCCTCCCCTGTTGGATTTGTGTAATCCCAAATGCATTGGGTAGTATAAAATCCCCCAACTAATCATCAACCACCAGGGTTTAGAACATTGCTCATATCAATGGGAATTTCAGGATCCTAAAATGGAGGTACGTTAGTACCATATTTCTGGCCATATTTTGTGGGGATATTCCCTGAAATTTAGGCCTGAAAAATAGGCCAAAAATATATGGTAGGTACCTCCAATCTAGGATCCTGAAATGTCCATTGATCTGTGAAATTTCCAGGGTGCACTGTTGACTATGGCCATCTGAGTGATTGAGACATACACGTACACATGTAATCACGGGTATGTATAAATATACATTGTACTGTATGTTTATTTGTTTAGCGGGTTTGTCCAAATTTGGGTAAACCAAAATTCATCCGCCAGTCTATCATCGTATTTCTCATGAAAAACACACACAACATTCCGTGTGTTTTTACAATTCATTTTCAAACTAAACCCATGTAAAATCATAGAAACAACGTGAAACAACAAACGCGGTCCCCATTCCGTGATTCTCAACAACCTCGGCTAATCATATTGTTTGGCAAAAACAAAGAATATGTGTATGTATATATAATATGTATACATGTATGTATATATGCATACTGCACACAGTATACATGTGTAAGCTGGATGGACTTCTCATGTGGCTACAGATTCATCTGTGACCGTTGCATCGATGTTCACTCTTGATATTCTGTGGGTAGGACTGAAGGACTGAGATCTGGGCAACAAAGTGTTCACAAGCCTAGAGTTGCTGGAGTATTTCGGTAGCAAACGTTTTTTTTTTTAAATAACGTTCGATGAATTGATTCTACCCTCTGTTAAACACACACAAACTATGGAAAATCACCATAGCTATTAAAGGGGAAATATGGGTAAATCAACTATTTTGACTGGGTCATTTTCAATAGCAAACTGTAACAAATTACCGGAGGGCAATCACAGCAGTAAGACATGTTTGAACAGCTTACCCTTAGTCCCGACCGTAGGGTAGCACTGCGGTAGCAGCCAGATCGATATGGAAAACCCTAAGGGGCTGGGCAATGGACAAGTATCTGCTTTCATGCTCGGTTTTCCATCTATAGTTGGGCAAATTTTCCACTTATCCATTGGGCCCCACCACTTCATGATGTACTCGTAGGCCGGTTGATCTGTGAGGGACAGCACTTGCATTATGTCGTTAGTAAACTGGCCTTCTCCATCAGACATTACCATTTCCTCAGCATGTGGTACAGTCGAAGCATTCGAAGCACCAATCCAGTGCAGGTTATCAACCCAGGCACTTTGAAGTATGGTCGGCATCCTATGTTGTGGAAAGGTTTTCCCATATCCTTCTCGTCAGAATACCGAACCACAACTCCACCGACCATGCCGCAGAATGCAGTGGCCAGTAGCACTTCCTCTAGGTTTATCTTAGCTTGTCGATGCAGAAATCTCATGGCATGCTGCATGCACTCAGCTGTCATTGAGTTCATCTGCCTGTTCGGGTTTGCAAACTCTGGCATTCGTTCCGAGTTCCGCACAAGTTTCAGAGAAACTTGAACCTCCATCTGGTGCGTCGAGTCTGATACTGACACAGCTACAGTTATTCAAATGCTCCTGGCAACCGGATCAATGGGTTTGAGTTCAAATCAGAAACGGTCGGTCAGGGATACAGTTGGGCAAATGTTCCCATCCATCATGCTGTCATGACATTACCAGAAATTGTTGGTAATCGCGTTATCACCCTAGAAACTTGTTGCTTAAACATCAAATTCCAAAGGTAAACAGTACTAATGTCGTAATGTTACTAATGGTCATAAAAATGACCCATGCCTCAAACTTGACTGATCTTAATGGCAATGTAACGGGCAAAATTATGACAATGTTAGTGAAGCAATAGTAAACTATCCACAAATGTTACCATCCTTATGGATAGAATTGAAACCATCAATCCATATGGCTGGTTTATGACATTGCTTTAACAACATTAATTAAAGTCATTAACCGCTAATATTCACAATTAATTCTGATTATTTACAATTATTAATCATTAAGCATTACTAAACCATTGTTAACCATTGTTGACCACTAACCATTGCTAAACCATTGTTAACCGTGATAACCGTTATCAATCCTTGTTGAATCATTATTAACCATTATATACCCATATGCTCCATGGTGCTGGTATATTTACCTACAAAACTGGGTGATTTTGTTCGGGCAAACGTTGTTTTTTTTTTTCTATTCCATACATGGAGCATATGGGTTACGAACCATTATTCAACCATATTAAACCATTGTTAAAACATTGTTAAACCATTGTTAAACCGTTGTTTACCTTTGTTAACCAGGATTAACCATTACAAAAACAAAATTTATTAGTCAGTTTGGATTATTCTTCCCAATATATGGAAAAACAACATTCATGTTCCAAACCACGAACCAGTTAACCATTACCCTACGAATCTTGTGGGAATGCCATAGATCACCGGATCTAACCCTCGTCCGTCTGCAGCTCAGAGTCACTTGGGATGGGATCGTTCAGGTCCTGCCGGGAGCCGAGTTGCCGGCCTTGTCTAATGAGGGTAGAACACCAACCCCTGGGAAAAGCCATGGATATGGAAGATCATTAAAAATGACCATTGTTTTCTATAATATGGTATAACCCAACAAATATGTTCATAACCAAAAATTTGGGGTATCTATAATATTGGAAGATATTCCCGGGTAAACTAACGTAGACATACAACGATATATACATAGATGTGGAAAAGCCATGAAAACCCCATGGATGATGCAGATATATAATGTTGGATGTTCCACATCCATGTTAGTTTAGTGGAAGGTAATGTGTAATGCCAACAGCAGGTTTTGTCATGTTTTGTCTGAAAGTAGGGCATACCCCCAACCATCCCCAATCTATGATTTGAAGAGGAAGACTATACATCAGAACTATGGTTTCATATACCCTCTATGTCAGCACACTGATTAAGAACTGGGTTGAGGGGATACCCCAGTTTTTTGTCGCAAACCCAGCTGGAAAATCGCACTGGAAATGAGGAAAAATGAGGGAAAATCACCTGATGTCACCCTTAAACAGAGCCAGTGTTGGCATGTGTTGGCTATCTCCTCAAAGGTGTCAACAGTGTCAACCCATGGTTTTTTACAGAGTCTGCTGTGACAAAATTCCAAGTTTATGTTGTCTAACAATCATCCCACATCATCCAACCCATGTGTTGTTACCCAAATCTAAACGGAGGCCGGCCATGGGCAACACATTTGTTGTTTGACTGAAATTATGATACCCCAATACCACAGATTAATATATCACCATCTTCCCCATGAATCTACCCTCTGGTTATTTAACATAGCCATGGAAAATGGCCCATAGAAATAGATGCTTTACCTATTAATAGCATGGTGATTTTCAATGGCAAACCGTTAGTCATAACCAGAGGGTATGCTATCTGCAGCCCATATTTTTTGGACAAACCCGAACTTCAAACGCCTCGGCAGTGCCGATGTGAACGTCGGATCTTGAGCGTTCCCACGGAACGCCATCGTCAAAGCCTTGGCTTTTGACAACGATGGAAACAATGGATTGTTTTAACCGAAAAAATGCACGTGAAATGGATTTTCCAATAATAGTTTTATAATAATTAGCAATAATAGTGATTATATATGGTTATATGATGGGATTATAGACTATAGATATAATATAACTTTCCAGCCAAATATAATTGGTTGGTGGATGATCTTGGGGATATATCAACCATAGGGATATAATTGGGATTTGATGGAACATACAAAAAGCGATGGAAAATCACAACTGGTTGGTGGTATACATACCCCTCTGAAAAATATTAGTCAGTTGGGATGATTATTCCCAATATATGGAAAGTCATAAAATTCATGTTGCAAACCACCGACCAGATAAGGGATATATCCTGTTATCATGTTTAACGATGCTTGTCACGGTTATGTCTTGGGATATCACTGGACCTATTCTCAAACGTCAACATTGCCACAGATCGTGATCATCACCAAAACATGTTGGCAAGTAGTTAACTATGATAACCCCAAGTATAACTATGATAACTAGTCAACGATTTTTGGGTTATTTTTGGGTTATATCTTCTCCAGCAATCCAAACGTGTCCATGTCCGTCATGTTTCAATGCCCAATGAGCAGGACATCCTATGTTCGTGCTTCGGACCGGGGTAAACATCACCTAACTTCTGGAAAAGAGCAGAGAACCACCCCACAAATGAGGAGGTGCGTCGAAAAGCTCGCGATGCTGACAACAATAGCAAGTTGAACAGAAAATATATCATGATGATTCATCACAACGTGTTCTTTTGTCCTGGGGGTAACACAATTCCAAACAAACACCTAGGAAGTGACTCAAAATTATAAGTTGGTTTATAACCCCACCTAACTATCTCAACCATGAAGCCCGCATGGCTATAAACCAGTTTACCTATCATATCATCATTTGGCGGTCAATTGTTGGGCCATCTGCCAGCATCAATTTACGCCAAGTTGCGATGAAAACTCTCATCGCTTATCATCAGGTTGAAATCATCTTGCGATCCTTGTGATCAGCAAAGACTCGTTTGGCACCATTGTCTTGGGATGTCTTGGCAAAGGTCGTTTAAGATATGGCAGTGTGTCAAAACCTTGTACCCCTGGTGAACATCAAAATAGCTGGTAAATGGATGTTCATCCCATTAAAAATGTATCTATAGGTATTGACCCATACCCATATGATAGGAAAGCTAAACGATAAAGTGAGATTTTGAAACTGAAACAGATCAACATGTTGGATTCGGGAACCTTCATTTCTTGATTCATCAGTTTGACCCGGTGAAGGACAACAATTTGGTCAACGGGACTGTAACTTGCAGCACATGTTCTTTGGAAAACACAGAAAGGTACGAAAAATCATGGGAAAAAAAAACGGCTGCCAATCTGATGTGGCTGGAGGGGGTAAATCAACATGCCGTTTTAGATCCTTGACCAGCTGGTACGGAAAATCATACTGTTCCTGCTCCTTTTTGGCCGTTGAAAATTGCATGGCAACGTTTTTTTTTCTCGAGGATTCGGCACATTGGTACCTGCTTGACTCTGCTTGACTAGGAACACCCGCTAGGTACCGAAAAATATCGGGATGTATGGCCTCTGTACCGTAGCCTGTAGCTGCTGCTAAGAAATCTCCTGAGACTAGTACAAGGTGGTGCCCCTGTTCGATAGCCAAGTTGGGGTAGACAGCATATACATAATATTTATATATATACACATAAACACTTGCGGAGGTTATGGTATATATACATTTTGATACAAACATTTAAATGTAATATATAAATATATAATGTAATATAACATATTATAATGTAAACAAAAACAAATACAATATAATAACATATGTTGTATATAATGAACTATACAAAGTAATATATATATATATATGTAAATATGTATATATATGTATATATATATATAATCTAAATTACCTACAGTTCAAGAGGTTCAGGAACCAGCTCAAAACTGGGGTGGGCACCATCATTTCAACTCACGCTTTCTCGTATATGGATCATTGTGCCATACTATCCGTATCCAATGGAATGTTGAGGAGTCCATCATGTGGATGAACACTGATTTAATAAGACCATGTCATTTACCCTCTGGTAATTTAACATAGCTATTGAATATGGCCCATTTATAGTGGATTTTCCCATTGAAAATGGTGATTTTCCATAGCTACGTTAAATTACCAGAGGGTATTGATGAGTATTGACGATATTTTTATCATCATGTACCCATGAGTCCAACACTGTTGATATGGAAATTTCATTGAAACAAATCAGCCCTGTGCAGATTGAGCGGCTGGAACATGTGCTGCGTCGCACTTCGAAGGCGTGTTTGCCTCGCAGATGGATAGCATCTGAGATAGTTCTATATCAAGGATAGTTTGTAACCCAACCAACAGTTGTAGGGTGGGGGCCCAGTCCGTTACCCAACACTTGAAGATGATTACAATGCGGCCAAGCATTGCACGCGCTTTGGCCTGTCTACAATGTCAGCCTGTCCTTTGCACTCAGGCTTCTATTATTGTAATAAGGTATCTACTGGCTTCCGGAATCGTAGATCCCATTGGGTCCCTGATTGGAATCTGGATTGAAATCCTGTGATATGTTCTGCCATCCAATGCATGTCTCTTAGAGTCAGTAACGTTCATCAACTTCGAGATGCTTGCCTGCAAGGTATACGAAAAAGAAGGACTTATATGACCTGTCAATTTTAGTCATATGATCACCGCCAACCCAAACGTTATTGGACTTATCACCAACACGCCAGGAACAAAGCCACATGGTTCCGGCCGTCCAATAATAGCAATGAATTCGGCTGCAAAAAGGACATCATTTGATCGCTCCAAAGCATGAAAAATATCAGGATAGCCCCAGAAAAGACGCTAAATAAACACATCATGATAAGATGAAACATGTCATGTTTTGCTGGGTCTTGTAAGTCCACACCTTGTTGGAGAAAAAACAAACATTTGATTTGAACTGCATGTATGAATTAATCTGATTTTAACATGTCTAAACTCAATTATGATTTGCAGGGTTCCTGAAATGGGAGTACCCCAAGTCATCCAGTCGTCATTGATGACCATGACTTTGTATCGAAACCCATGGGTTTCATGCGGGATTGGTCATCATTAAACATCATCTGGCTGGTGGTATACCTACCCCTCTGAAAAATATGAAAGTCAGTTGGGATTGTTATTCCCAATGTATATAATGTATGGAAAAATGCTCCAAACCACCGGGACCAGGAACCCAATTTATCCCATATTAAACCCATATGTTTGTTGATCTTCGCTTTTGAAACGATGCATTGCTCTTCGTTACCATCTGGTTATTTAACATAGCCATGGAAAATCCCAACCATAAATGGAGGTTTCTAGCTGGGAAAATCATCTATTTCTATGGGCCATGGCTTCCATGGCTATGTTAACCAGAGGGCACATCCAACTCCGTTTCATCCTTACCGAACTTCGGTGCGTTGATATCCAGCGAGCTGCGCAGCAGCGAAGCCCTGAGCGACGCCAGCTGCTCGTCCAGCAGCTCCTGGCGTGCCATGGGTGCAGCCGAGGTGATTTTTGCCATAGGAAACGATGGGAAGAACGGGGAATTCTGACCATTTACAGTGGGAATATAATCCGATAGGATCCATGGTGATGGTATATTAATGCTAACATAAAGGGGGTATATTGATGGTAAATGTTACCATATATAGCATACATGGATCCTACGGGAATGGGAACATGAGTGGGATATATATATATATATAACCAGATCACTGGCCATCTCAGGAACCGATTGATTGGAGGTACCTACTGTATATGGCCTATTTTTCAAGCCTATGTAAGGGGATATACCCCCATTAACAGTGGCAATATCATGGGATGAATGGGATAAACCAGATGCAGCCGAAGTTAATGGCTACGGTATGGGATAACCTTCATAGCATGGGATTCCCTGCCTACCAGTGGAACTATTGTATATATAACCTAAGTACTACCCTGCAAACCCAACTAATTGGTAGTTTCAACCAACCCCCCTGAAAAATATGAGTCAGATTGGATCATCCCAATTCTTGGGTTCCAAACCACCCACCAGCCAACGACTAGTGGGATGTAATTGGGATAGTCATGGATATGGGGATTTACCCTCAGGAAAACAATGCTGGAAACAACGACTGATAACATGGCATTTCTTTAAAACCCAAGTATGATTCCTATGTTATATGGTCAATAAGTGCTGAAAATATGAATGGGTAACACTATATGTTTATTATTGTTTATTAGCATAACATCCATATCTATGTTCCTATGTTACCATGATATAATGATATTTCATGATATGGAATACAGCCTCCAGTGTCATTGCCATGGCCAATGCCATGGCTCAGTGTCAGTCTGCAATCCCATGAATCCAAAGATTGCTTAACCATCACACATTAAGGTGAAACAAAAACACAAGCCATTGGAGAACCCCAAAAAATGGATTTGGGGAATTATTAGATTTATTAGTATTGATTTATTGTAACAATTGTTGTGTCAATCTCTTAATTATTCGGATCTGATAGTCGAATCCCATGTTTGATGGTAAATCCAATCCTCCTAATAACCCTAATATTTATAGGGTGGTTAACCATCAAACATGTGGATTTATTACATGGTTTAAGACCAGTCTGACCACTCTGTGCAAATTGTTGTAATTCACCTAAATTCATGCTCTCCTCAATTGCTTATTCTAATGAGTTTTAACTTGAAACAAAAAATAAAAAAACAGGAAAACACATGGAAAATCAAAAAGCACAATTTCAAAACCAGAGAAATGTGGAAAAATGGACGTGTCCATGTGCTTTTATTTTGTTTTCTCGATTTGTTTTTTTTGTTGCTTTTATGTTGCATATGTTTTTTCTCCAGGCAAAAAAAAAAAAAATGAAACATAGCAAAAACAAAAAACGAAAAACACAATAAATCAAAAAAAAGAAGCAAATGGACAAGTCCATTTTTGTTTTTTTTTTGTATGTCCTTTGCTTTTCCCTTTTTGTTCCCCTTTTATTTTGCTTTCGTGTTTTTTGGATTTTGCTGACTTGTTTTTTGTTTTTTTTCATTTTGTTTGCATGTTTTATCGTTTTGTTTCAAATCTGTTGATTCTTAGAGTAAGCAATGGTCTGGTGAACAAAAACCTAAACATACACAAGCTTGAAATAATATGTTTTTGAGATACCACAATTCCAATCATCATTTATGGATATTTATGGATACTTATGGGGCTTGGTCATTTGCCCAAACTAAACCAGCCGGTGTTTGCAGAAATTACACTAAGCCCTGATGACGCCCACGGTACTCTACCTCGAAGGTAGGACATGCCATGACGCCGCGCAGAGTCGCCCGTGCAAGCGATTTTTCTGATTGACACGAAGCGATTTTTCACCGTTGGCTAGAAACATGGAACAATGTGATTGGGAAACTCGTTCCTTGACTCCCCATTGGGACAGAGAACCATAGCTCTTTAGCTCCCTCCTAAATCCCAAGTGGATTTTTCCTGCTGCTGTTGGAAGTGTATGGCACCACATCAAGTGCATTGAAAAGCACCCATATTCACAATGATCCTGCGCACTTTTTTAATACGTATACCGACTATACCTATTCTTATCTGTTCGTACTTTGTTTGATTGGACATGTTTGGACTATTTCTCAGGGAAAAAAAACAAACCTGCTTTGCTGTGCAATTCTTGATGTCTTATTCTCATTATGGTCGTGTTGCAACACGGTCAGATGCTGAACAAAAACACGGAAAAACACGGCGTCACGGCGTCACGGCCATGGGAACCTTTTATGGGAAATAAAACTGGTTGGTGTTATACCTGCCCCTCTGAAAAAAAAAAGTCAGTTGGGATTATGACGTTCCCAACTGAATGGGAAAAAACATGTTCCAAACCACCAACCAGAACTATGCTTCATGGGGATTATAAAGCGCAAAAAACAGTTTTCTGGACGGCCTCACCGTCGTAACTTCCATGCTCATACCAGTAAGCTGAGATGCTTTGAACCTAGGTGATCTAGGTGTGTCTGAAAATGCGGTGCAAGCCCCAATTTTTAACCATGGCTGTTTCGGGAACATGAATGGAACATGACAAGCAGGATTTTTCTGCTCTTTTTTGGAGGTTTTCCCCAAAATTACCCAGATGTCCATTGATTTTCCATGGATTTTATCTCCACTGGATGGGATGTCTAGTTGTCCCAGTGGAACTTTTGCCCGGACCCGGAAAAAATCTGGTGGTTGAGCCCTACCCCTCTGAAAAAAATAAATATTAGTTAGTCAGTTGGGATTATGACATTCCCAACTGAATGGAAATTCATAATCCATTCATGTTCCAGTCACCACCAACCAGAAATATGTTAGTTCACCCAGATGGCATATTATTAGGATTTAATGATTATACATGATTATACACATATATGAATCACTTAGGATTCGTGGGATACTTCAAAACGTCCATGCGTCCATGGAGTCAATCAACTGGAGATGATTGGAGTTATCAGTCCTACTGAGATGGTCTGAGATGGGCATCTCCTCAATCCTTGGATGATCCATAAAAAAGGAACTTTTGAAACCCCCAAAGGTCGATGCCAAAAAGTGGGAACCCTGGCAATTCAGGGGAACATATCATTGAACTAACTAATTATTATTCGAGCCCCACACTTTCCGGTCTCTTTTTGAGCCTCTCGGAATGCGCGCTTAAGCGCCAGATATGGTGAGTTTTTCAGTCACCCATTGGTGGAGTTACCCCATATATGACTGGGTGAACTAACATGAACTAACCTGGTTGGTGGTTTTAACCATCTTGAAAAATATGAAAGTCAATGGGAAGGATGACATCCCATATATTATGGAAAATAATCCACATGTTTGAAACCACCAAGCAGTAACTATGGTGAGGCAAACCACTTAATAACTGGGATGAACATCCAAGTAGGATTTCTATTGGTCCCTTTCCTATCTGGCCGCGGCCTGTCGGATGGATTCAAAGACAAGCACTCATTCCTTGGATGTGCGACATTGCAGTGCTCAGTCCCTTATTCTCCCGAAAAATGCTGGTTGGTTTGGAGATTTCACAGGGTCCTGGAACTTCCTGGAACTGTGATACTTGAACATAAACTGATTGGATCGAATAGATTCGAATAGGGAAACAAAAACAGTTTTTATTTCCCACAAACAATAGGGCTTCACCATAGGTATACCGGCTTTATACCAGATTCTTGGATCACCCCATAGAATCACCAATCAACAGGGCTTCAGCCACTGGCCCCGCTAACTTCCCGGGTCAACGAAACCCGGATCAACGGAACCGCGGCGCCGAGCATCAAAAGCGCATGCATCGATGGTCTCTGCCCACCGTTCACCTGGCAGGACCCTGTTTTTGCTCCATATTTCGCCATGATTTTTGTTACCAATTTGACCAGAAATACCCCAGTAAACATGCAAAGAAGCATGGAAATCCGATAGTGCAAATTCATGGCAGACGTTCCATATCTCAGGGATTTACATATGGAATTACTGCTGCTTACTGCGCGGTTGCTTTAAACCATCCCCAATTTGTGGCTCATGATTGGTGTATCAAACAACGGTCCCATCTCCAGGTCTGATATCTATTGAATCATGATAATTAATATGGGTTAATTGATACCCATTGAATAATGGGATATATATATATATAACTATATATTATTATAACTGGTTGGTGGTGTACAAAAAAACCCTCTAAAAGGGTAAGTTCAAAGGCTTCGGCAAGAGCATGAAGGGGAAGTTTCAGAAGGGACATCAGTCCAATCGCAAGTCGCTGCAACAGTGAATCCTGACAACAGCATGCAGACTTTGTGGAAAAGTAGGTCACTGGAAGGCCAAGGGCCCGACTCCAAATTTCATTTTGGCAATTTGTTTCAATTCATGCCAAAAACAGCTTTCCGGCCACATCTAAACTCACGGTTGCTTGGCAGCCGAAATCGCACTTGTGACAAATGTCTTCGCGACGAGTTGTGGCTGTAAGTTACACACCAAAAACAACCTTGCGGCCACATCCAAACTCATGGCTTGTTCGCAACCGGCATCGCACTTGTGGCCTTTGCCAAAAGTTGCGGCTGTAAGTCACACTCCTGCACCTGCCACGTACGGTTTGCAATCGCCGCCAACTGTAGGCCAAAAACCCGAAGGCTCTGATGGGATCCTCATCGTATTTGTTAAGAGCGAAGAACATTGCATTTTCCCTGAACAGGGCACCACCGGCCTTCATGCAAGAGTTGGCTTCGGCAATGACTTCAAGGATTGATTCTTCCTTCGCCTTCACCAAGATGCCGTCTTGCTCGGCCATGACCTCCTAGTTCTAGAATCTTGAAACATATAAAAGTCAGTTGGGAATATATATATATATAATTATATATAGTTATATATATATACTGTTATTATATATATATGTATATCATAATGATATCATCTTCCCTTTGAATCTCCATTTGAAAATCCCCAAACAACGAGTCGTCCCACGAGTCGTCGTGACAGTTGCGACACCTCCGCAACGAAGTCGACATGTTCAGGCACCTGAGATCCCTGGGGCCCGCGCCACCGGTCAAAGTTGGGATATAACCGCCATAAGTTGGGATAATATTGGGTTATATCAAGTTATATCAAGTTATATCCCAACTTACTATGAAGTTATATGAAGTTATATGCAGTTATATGCAGTTGTAAGCATGGTCAAAACCATTTACTCCTGAACTTACTAGTGTAAGTGCCATCCTTTCACGTCACACAACATGTTTTTCGCTACCATGTTCATTGTGCCCTGACTAGGATCAAGGGCACCACCATTTCCCTCCATATGGAGGAAATAGGCAACTATAAAGCTATAAGGCAACAAATTTAAAGCTTACCATTACTCCAACAGGACAAGAAAGGGTCAAAACACCTAGATTTCCTCGGGTGTCCAAGAAACGCAGTCGTGCCAGGATACCCTTCAATTTTACAAATATTGCTATATACACAAGTAGGTTAATATATGTTTATATATTCCCATGAAAATGGCAGGCTATTGTACTACACTACCCTTCACAAACGTTTACCAAGCTGTAATCAGAATCACATAAACAGAATCACACATTATTGAAAAGTACGCCTAAGTAAACCAAACAAAAAAAACATGTTGGTAGGTGAGCTGTCTCTATGGAACTTAGTTATGGAGACTCCACCATGTTCATTCGTGTTTAGGCCTTCAGGTGTTTGTTTCCCGACATTTCCATTACCATAAACCCTTGGGAACAAAAAAAAACTTGGTAAGTGCGGCACAGTGCGGCTTCCGATTTCCATTGCCATAAAACATCGGATAGAAATTTAGTATTTACTGTTAGGTTTGTAAACATGCTCTATCTTCTTTTCCTGGAACCCCAAAAAACACAGTGTTTAATGCCAGATCTCAGAATGACATAAGAATTATTTTCAGTCATCATGACATAGCCATTACATAGCCCATGTCATAGATTCAACATGATTCAACGCTAGATTTCCCTAGTAATTTTCATTTGATTCTTTGACTTTTCGGCCAAACAATGAGGACATTGAGAACTGGAGGTCCTGAGGTCCTGAGGTCCCCACATAAGGCCGTTCTCCTCGGATCACCTGCCATGACGCGCTGGTGGGTCCGTATCAGGGGATTGGAAGCTGGCCAACCAAACATATGCTGCAGACATTTCATGTGAAAAGTTATATGTTTTTTTCTATGGAAGATCATCCCAACACCAGCAAGTTGATGAACTCTGAGTTCAGATAACGGTTAAACCATGTGGAAAAACAAAAAAAAAACTATTTTTGATGGTTAAACAGTTGGCTAAACCAGAAGTGTTGATGGTGAAACTGCCATGTTTGACATTTTTCAACTAGTCCTGATGGTTACCCTCTGGTAAACTAACATAACTATGGAAAATCACGATTTTCAATGGGTAAATCCACTATAAATCACCATTTTCAATAGCTATTTGAAATTACCAGAGGGTAACACCTCCAAAAATAGCTGGCAAGGCCTTACAACCAGCACCAACCAGCCACAATTTTTGGCTTGACCAGCTGACAGCCATTCCCAAAGCGGATACCAAAAAAATCACCCATGTGTTTGTCACCGATGTGTTGACTTTTTGCCAGAATTTAGGGTTTTAGGCTTTAGGGTTTTAGGGTTTTCTTGTTTTTTGTTTTTTCGGAGTTTAGGCCATGGAATTTCTTGTCTTGGATTGCTTTCAAGACTCTGGCCATCTCTAGAGCCAATCTCAAATACCTTGGCGGCCATGGCCCTGAATGATTTTAGCTACCCAATTGTCCTTAAGTTGTGCTGTTGATAGACCCATGTTTACCATTGTTTACCTGGTGGTCACCCTTCATTGCTCGATTTAGACCTACCTAGACCCTCCATCTACACAATAAGATGTGCATGGATCGACCTCACTGGCTCAACCAGCGGCCCCATGATGCCATAATACGTTCGTTCATAGTTGGTTGATGTTGTTTGTATCCCGCACACATGTTACATATAATATGGAACCCTTACAAAACATGGCCATGTCACATACAAAAATCAGATGAAGATTGGCAGTTATCAGTAAAGGTAACAATATCTAAATGATCTATGCCTTAACATGATTTTAACTGATTTTAACAATGGGAATGTACGATCCCCAAAATGTAATGAAATGTCATGGTTTTACCGACCCCGGCCTTGTTCCTCACTTCATCCTGGGTCTCGCAATCCGCAAACGGCGAGCCCTGGGACATATCCACTGACATCATTCGGTCCAAGGTGGGTCCAGTGACAGTGATGCTGCTTATAAACTCCACGAATATCATGAATACTCGATAGATAGACAGATAGATAGATACGTAGATGGATAGATGGATAGATGGATAGATATGGATAGATAGAAATATATGTATATATATATAGAGAATATATATACATATCTCTTTCCCATAGACTCTAACCAACTTATAAATCAACTTGGCTATCTGGGGCCCACCAAAAGTTGAATGTATCTGAATTCTTTGGATTTGATGGTTAAACCATGCACAACCCTTTATTCCTCATGGGAAATTCCATCACCAAAGATCATTTTGTGGGGATCTAGTTTAACCATCAAACACGGGTGTTTGTCACATAATTTCACCATGTCGAGATAAATATAGAGAATGGGATGTATTCAGATGTATATATAGCCAATACGAATCAATACGATATGAACAGAAACCTCCTAGAAGTGACCTTTTTGATCTCCCCGATCTCCAATCATTTCGAGCCCAATCAGGACTGCGCGACCATCATCCCACGGCTCTATCGATGGAAATAACATGAAATTTGCATGGCTTGCATCTAGCTTTGGATACAAGTAAATAACAGTACCCTCTGGTAAACTAACATAGCTATGGAAAATCACCATGTTTAATGCGTAAATCAACTATAAATGGCAATTTTCAATAGCAAACTGGTGGTTTACCAGAGGGTAAACTATAAATTAGCATTTGGCAGCTACAAGTAGCTAAAAGTAAGATGGCAAGCTCCATCTTACCTGAACACAACGCCGCAAGTGGCATTTTTCCCACTGGAATAAGTTCGTATATACTAAGCGGGCGCTCAAAGCTCTCAAGTAATGTCCCAAAACAACATCCAAATGTATCCAAATACAATCAAATACTTATTGTATACATATATATATATATATATACAATGAGTAAATACATCCAATATACATATATATATATACAATCCAGATTTCAGAAATCTTCCAAATGTCTGAAGATTTCTGAAGCTGCCTTGAACTTGACTCCATTTGTGGTTGCAACGCAGAAGGAGTTTGACCCGCCATGCGGGCATGGATGGGTCGATGGGCACAACCCGTTTTGGTATTGTTTTGTTCACATGGGGGTAACAAAAACCTAATTGTGTTGACCATTGTCAGGGAGGTAGGTATATGTATATATATATATATAATCTAATGTAATTATATATATATATATATACATATTCAAATCTCATCTCATTTTAACAGGTAAATATGTGACCAGGGAATGGTTCCCAAAAAAATCAGAGACAAAACATCAACCCGGCTCTGTTTTACCCCAATCTGGGTGGTTTTTGTTGTTGCACACCTTCTTTGCAGGGGAAAAAACCCGGGTCTGAGTCCAGTGCTCCACCAAAAATCTCCACGAGCACACAGCCTAGGTCCAGCGCAGCCCGCGTTCCGCGTTGGTCACCAACAATCAAGGCCGCCAAGGCCCATGGGCCACTGCATGAAGCTGATTAAACCAACAGGATTGAAACTCCCCAGGGTTTCTTTTCAAACCCAAGATGTTTCTATGTTTTCTTGGGGTGTAATGCTTGTAAAACTACGCTGACCTTCAATTACCGGATCAAAATTGGCAAGAGCGGCATTTGTTTGGAGATATACACTGTAAGTACAAATTTCTTGGCCATGCTTGGAAAAGTTTGAAGGATATTGACGGTTTGGGCATGTTCCGGATCATGATTTCTGCGCAAAAGCCTCATGTGTTTCAAGTACTTTCATATTCTCTTCAAGGACGAACATCATTTTTTATTTTTGAAAGTCAAATCCACATCTGGTTGGTGGTTTCAACCATCTTGAAAAATATGGGCGTTCGTCAATGGGAAGGATGACATCCCATATGAAATGGAACATAAAATTCATGTTCCAAACCACCAACCAGACATGTTCTATCCTAGTCTTCTTACTTCAATGAACCAACCATTCCCATGCTAAAAATTCCGCCATGGTACCCATGGACCAAACATCCGCTTGGCAACTGGCACAAGCTCCGCAAAGGCCTAGGGTTTAGGGGATCCGTGGCAAATCTGAGTTTACATTGGGATTTCATAGGGATTTCGTTGGATTTTAATGGAATTGAATGGGGGTTGAATGTGAACTCATCCAATCAAAATTGCGATTTAATGAATTTCATGCGTCTATGGGGGAATCAAAAGTACTGAGCCAACCGTTTGACTGGGGTATAATGAGATATAATGCCATATAATGCCATATAACCAACAATGAGTGCAGCAAGCCCCAAAAGAACGCGGACAAGTTGTTTATACAGGTTGTTGAAGGATTTCTATAATGGGGTTTTAATGGTTTTAATGGCTCTATAGCTTGGGATTGAACAGACCATCACTGGAGATATAATACCCAAAACAGTAGATTTTAGGGCAGTTGGCAGCCAAATATAATTCGCACCCAATATATATTTGTTTGGCAAAAAACAAACAACAAACAAAATAGATATAATTCCCCAAACAATATAGAAACACAGGCAAAGGCAGCCAGACATAAAATCAGAAAAAAAGCAATGTCTAATAATAAATGCACATCCTATATCTAGTATGGTATGGTGCGTCTGGTATGTGTATAGGTAGATAGGTGGTTGCCTACGAAATAGATCGAAAGGACCTACATCTATGGTGGACAGTACACCTTGCATCGAGAGTTCCAATGGATCAATGGCTCATTGCGACCACTAGGGCTGCCAGATGCCATCTTGGCTATGCCCAATTCTGGTCCCCCTGGGGTCTCACGTTCTGGTGCTAGGTAAGCCATAGAGCCGGCCTGCGACGCATGAGTCCCCAAGTGCCAGATCTGGGAAAACGAAAGAGCATCTCAGCAAAGCTAGGCCAAAAAACATGTTGGGGGTACAACTATCATTGCTGGTTGGTGGTTTCAATCCCTCTGAAAAATATGAAAGTCAGTTGGGATGATTATTCCCAATATATGGAAAAAAAATCATTTTCCAAACCACCCACCAGATTGGAACATTCACAGCATATCCAACACTGACATGTGCCATTGCTGCTGGTGATTTTCCTAAAAGCTTTGATCCAGCGCAGGAAATTGGGGTTGAACAGGTTGAACCATGAACTGTTCGTGGGTGTCTTGGCCATGTACTTGACTTAAATATACTTAAATCATCAACACAAATTTGGGTAGAACCCGCAAAAATTGAGCTGTTGATTTGCTGCTTGGATGACATCATTGCTTGTTTTTGGAGGCAGCACATGCTTTGATAGTGATTTCTCCGAGGAAACAATCTATCAACTAATCACAAACATGTTACACATTTGACATCTTTTCTTTGATACCCATGATTAATGTGTAAATCAGCGCCTGTTGCTGATTTATCCTTAAGACTGTATTGTTTTCTATATTTTCTCGCACACACCTGAGCCTGAAATGACCATTTCATGGGGTGATTGTGCGGTTTTGAGCTTGGATTTGCTTCAGGAAAAACCCAATTCCCCAAGTTCTGGATTTCTCATTTTGAGTTTTCAACAAATCATCTTCAGCTTAAATCCTTTTTTGAGGTAATTTCACTCAGTAACATCATCAGTTACGGTTCCCGGTCGGCCCAGGAAGTCGCTAAAATCCGAGCCTGCGCAGATGCGGAAGCCGCTGAAAGCCTGGAGGTTCCACATTTTGAGTGCTAGATTTCAGAAGAATGGTGATGCCAGATGGTTAGCTAAATTTGGTTTATAACTAGGCTAACTATTATTTGCAGATATACTGTATATACTGTCCATGTAGGGGTTTCGAACTATCTTTTAACTCAGGGGGCACCTGGTTGTCTTTTTACTCCCATTCGAATGGTACCTGATGGTAATCATCATGGGTGCAAAGAAGGGCAAGAAGGAATTAAGGTCACCAGCGGCGGACACACTACTGTTCAATGACTGAATTTTAGCCTCTGGTAAACTACCAGTTTGTTATTGAAAATTATTGAAAATTGCCATAGAAATGGTTGATTTACCCATTAAAAATGGTGGATCTTCGTAAACGTTTACCAGAGTGTAGCAACAGTTTTGGATGTGAGACATTTTTAACAGATGATATAACTTCTTCCAGTGGTTATACCCTCTGGTAAACATACAAAAAACTCTGGAAAACCACCATTTTTGATGGGAAAATCCACTATAAATGGCAATGTTCAATAGCAAACTGTTAGTTTACCAGAGGATATATATATATATATATCACCACTATCCCAAAAAAACTAAGGGAATATCTGGGAAATGCAATGATGTAACTAATCAAGTCATTCAACAACGTCATGAAACCCAAAGGCAAACCGGCTTGCAGGCCCCGGAACATCCCGCAAAGACACCTTTGGGCAAGCCCGAAATCCGACAATTTCGCCTGGCAGGCAATTTGCAGATTTTGCAGCCCCATATGGGTGTGTCTTAAAAAAAGGTGATACACCACAATCGTTTTTTTAGTGCTATTTTGATGAGGAAGATCATGGTTAATCACAGGAATTTGGGTACTGTACCCTACTGATGTAAAACCCCATATCGCACATTAAAACCCCTAAATCATCTGGCAGTGGAAAAAATCAACCCCTGACTTTGAATCTTAAAAAAAAATGAGGTCCTGCTTCTGAAGTGGGACACACCTACAGAATCACGTTTCAACTGATGTGAAGTGGTAATTGGATCAATCGGATCACTGGGTCACTGCATCCCACAACTAGTGGTGCTCCCCAGTAAAACCCACTACTTAACTATGGTTTATGGTAGATATCACATGATATAACTATAGTTAATGGGGTTTTATATCCATATATCTATTTATACATATATATCTGGTTGGTGGTTGACCTACCCCTCTGAAAAATGATGGAGTTCGTCAGATTGGATCATCATCCCAAGTATTGGGGAAAAAATGTTCCAAACCACCAACCAGATTAACTATAGCTATATCTACCATAAACCATAATTATTTAAGCCACTTATCTACCATAATTACAATAGATATATTCTGATATTTTTTACTATACACCAGCTTTCTATTGGTTAAAAGCCAACTTCGCCAACGATGAGGGGCGCCACCTTGTAGTATGTGGTTCATAACCCATACATCACGCCATATATATATATATGTAAATAATAATAATAATAATAATAGTAATAATAATGTTATTATTATTATAATTATATATTGTATATTATATATTATATATTATTGCGTATATTTATTATATATGTACACTACAAGTATATAACTGGGAATATTCAATGTCTAGTTGGTAAACAATTTATGGTAGCCACTTCCAACCGCGTAAAGTCATGGTGACGACTGGGGATGGGATTTGTTGAAAAAAAATGCTAAAAATATATGGTTTACCACATTAACAGCTATGGTATTTTATAGATGCAAAAAATAACAGCAGTTAACATTAATAGTTACTAAAAAAGCCAACTATGTTCATGTTCTATAGCTATAAATGGTTACCTATATATATATATCTATTAGGTGGCCCAACTTTAGTTCATTTACCTATGGATTCATGGTTCTGTTGAAGTACCAGAGTGTATACCGTTGTGATCCCTTGCGCGTATGTCCGAGGGTAAGAAACTGAAACAATAACTTAAACATTACTTAAAAAAGTTCTCATTCTTAAGATGCAAGCACTATGGATTTGTGCTCTCCCCACTTGTAAGCTGGCTTAAAATCCCTGTTAACTATCTAGTTATATAAAAGTCCCAAACATCCCCCCAAACCTTGTTGGATTCATGTTCACCAACTTTGCAATCTAAACCCCATTAAATCCCATTCAACCTCCATTAAAACACCAATTGACTCCCATTCAACCATCATTTTTGGTGGATTTTGGTGGTATCCCCAAGTTCTTCAACCTATGTTTGTTGCACCACCCAGTCCGGCACCCCTTGGCACCTCCAGCTTGTGCTCCTGAAGCTCTCGCGGGAAATCCAGGTGGTTGTTATGGATCAATGGATTGGTTCAAGGGAAAACCCACCGGAAATCCCTGTTTTTTTTTCCCACTGAAAATATCCAAGGTGTCATGAAGATGTCGATTTTCAAAACCAATTCTGGCAATCAATCTCGTCGGCGGGTACGTAAAGAACTCTCTCCATTTCGGCGATGTCGGAGCGAAAGTAGGTGTGTGAAGTGCAGTTGAATGCTCCTCGATAAATTCTTCTCATGAATGCGCTTTGGTCTTGAAGATCTTGAAGATCCTCCAGCTAAAAAAATCTGGAGCTTGCTTGCGTGCTTCTTCTTATCATCCTTTCCCATCATAACTGTTTGGTCAGCTTGTTTCTTTCCAAACATCGCTGCATTCCAGGCAATGCTGGATTTTCTTGAGGAAGATTGCTCCGAGGGGAAGCTGTTTGCTGCATATCGAGCGGGAAGTCTGCTGCTGAAGTTGCCGGCATCCACCAGATTTCTGGGTGCCCATCAAGGTCAGGTTGTCTCTCCTGCGATTTTTGAAAGGTAGCTTCCCACATGGTGGGAAGCTAATCAAACCCTTGTACCCTTCCGTTCGCACCAAAGTAGTTGTTTTCTTTGGATGTTCCAGGACCATGGACCATCTGGGTTCACAAAGTGTCACCAAGGCGGGTAAAACAACATCCTTGCATGCTTCAAAAGTGTGGGCGTGCCTAAAGAGAGTTTGTTCAAAATTGATTCGGTCAACCACCGAAAGTGCTTTGTTTCGGGGATGGGGAGACTCATTTGGAGGCCAATTCTGAGTTTGGTATTCGCTCTAAGCTGGGCATTTTCAGAAGATGTGTGGCATATGGGAAGATTATGTGATGCAGGTAGGTGTCCCATATTTTTGCGGCTCCCGTGCCATGTAAAACACCACGTGCAAATTAACTTGCATTGTGGATATATATATATATACATTGGGAATTATCAACGATATCTACTGTTGTTATTGACATGGAAACTTGTTAATTCTAGATACTGAAAAACGGGATATCGCATCTGCCTTTCACAAAGCAAGAACCCTTTGCACCTAGCCTTCTTCAGTCCCAGCAAGTTAACATAGTATATATGTGGTCAACCCATGGTTTCCCCTTCGGAAAAGACACACATATAAGTTCAACTTTTTTGCTTGGTGGTTCATCCCAATTAGTATGTAGCTAAAAAAAAACGCCTGTTGAGTTTACTGGACCCCTTCCCCAGCAAGCCCCAGTGCTTAAGTGCCCGCTGTCATCAACACCCGATCTCCGGTCACCCGGTCCTCCTTAAAGAGCAGGACGTTGCTGCTTTTCAGGTCGCAGTGCAGCACTCGCTGCTGATGCAGAAAGCAGAGGCCTCACCGGTTGCAGAGGGACCTAACGTGACGGGACTGTCACTGGGTGTTTTTGAGGCGTCCCAGGGCTTAATCTGTTTATATAGCTAGTGAAAGAAACAGTGGCATGTGAGGGATAATAGTGATACACTATGAACTGGAAGGCAACTCCCCAATCCTTAGTCACGGTTTATCCAGCCAGGTTTGACATTATAATAGGCAGTGGACAGGAAAGAGAATGGGTTGATGCCAAAGCAAATCAACAGGAAAAACATGTTCTTACCGCCCCAAATTGGCTTGGCTTTTGACCCAAGATTCTCCCTCACACCATGTCTGAAAATGATCAGCAACCATCCTAGTTTCTTGGCATGTGGTCTATACACTAGCCAATAGATGCCAATAGATGCCAATAGTATGGATGCTAGTTGAATAGTTGACAAATGATGGATAGTAGTATGATAGTATGTATCCAATGTACTATATGTACTACCCTCTGGTAATTTAACATAGCGAACTAGAACATCACCATTTTGAATGGGTAAACCATTTATTTTTATGGGCCATTTTCCATAGCAAACTGTATTGGTGGTGCAATAACCATCTTGAAAAATATGAGTTCGTCAATGGGAAGGATGACATCCCATATATTATGGAAAATAAAAAATGTTTGAAACCACCAGCCAGAATAGTATGGATAGAATAAAAGCCTGGTTATCCACATGTCATGTCATGCGACCCAGTCTCAGACAAGGCAGTCATCACTTTTTAGCGACCCAATCATTCACTGGCGTCTCGACCCACATTTTTCGGGGGGGTGATGATCAATGGGATCCCCAAACGGATCCCCAAGTGACCATGGTTTTCAATACAAAAATTGTGAAAAAAGACTGGTTGATGACTGGGGGTACCCCCTGCCATTAGGAAACCTCCACATTTGCTGGTTTCAATCTCCATTTTGCAAAGCGAGTCGCAAGGTGGTAACCACTGATGCCCATTCTTCTGATGCTTGCAGCTTAAAACATCGAAAAAAACATGTTTTTTATTGATTAAATCCCAAGCCCCATCGCCTAAAACGACCCTTACGCAAACACTTCCTAAGACAATATCTTATACCCTCTGGTAATTTAACATAGCTATGGAAAATCAAAATTTTTAATGGGTAAATCCACTATAAATGGTCATGTTCAATAGCTATGTTAGTTTACCAGAGGGTATCCCAAAGTTCATTGATTAACATTGTATACCACTGCTCAGGCAACGATTGACTCTCTCGATTTCTAAGTGTGTCATGTCCCATTAAGCCATGAAGTCATGAAAATCACCATTAACCACCATTAACCATACATTAACCACCATAAATATATCATCCCACCATTAACCACCATTAACCAGACATAACCCTCCAAGCCATTTCTCCAAGCCATTTCTGCCACACCCGTTTCATCGCCTTCCAAGACCTCCAAAGCCAAGTCGACTCGTTGCGCTGGGCGCATTGCGGCGCTTGGTGTTGTGCTGCAAGATGCACCATGCAGCAACTGCCATAGGGAGCCTGCGGATTGCGGGACTAGCATGGCGAGATATCATCCACCAATATAGGTTGCAAAATATAGGTGGATAACCAATATATCTTAACTATGGTTTATGGTAGATATTGGTAGATATAACATGATATAACTATAGTTAATGGGGTTTATATCTGTATATCTATATATATATACATATACATATCTGGTTGGTGGTTGAGCCCTACCCCTCTGAAAAATATGAGTTCGTCAGTTGGGATGATGACATTCCCAATATATGGAAAAATAAAACATGTTCCAAACCATCAACCAGATAATGAATGATCATAGTTTAGACCAGTTTACCAGGTTAAATGTGATAAACCCAATGCCATAAAACCAAGAATAGACATCAGTAGTAGGACATAATGGGGATACGATATGATACGATCAATGGCCATTTCAGGAACCGATTGATTGGAAGACATTTTCGTTTTTTGTTAGGCCTTTGTAAGGGCTAAAATTGAGGGTATATGCCTTCAAGACTTTATATGCTACAGTACCTACTTTAGGGTCCTGAAATTCTCATTGATCCTGGCAGATATATCCATAATTATGGGAATATGACCATATATACAACAAATATGATGGTGTAATAGATGAATGGACTTGATCAAAATGTCAACATCGGTGCCCTGCCGGGCAGTCTTCTGCCTTGCAAGCCGTGGCGGAAGTCGTGGCGGAAATCTTGTACACATTCCAATCAGACGGTGCTGAACAACTTTCGGAGCTTAAGGCGTCTGTGTCCGACACTGAGCAAGCAAATTTTCCGGTTGAATGATTCGAATGTCGCAGCTGTCGCAGTCCCATTCTGTGTTTCCTTTACCTGACACGTCGTGGCGCTTTCTGATCGATAAACCGGTAACGGAGTCACCTCGGCGTGTCGATTGCGTCGAGCATTTGCAGTGCTCCGGACAACACCAAGACGGCCGGTCAAATGTTCGACGTTTTCAGAGCACAATAGCAAGCAAAAAACAGCTGAAACAAATGCGGTATTTACAATATGTTTTGCAGTTGGAATCAAACACCATGATTTTTACAGTGTTCGTTGTTTACATTTCAGCTGAAAACACCAGGTTATAACTGGTATAATGGTTATATTTCGAAGGATATTGTTGGGATATGTTGCTAATACATCTTCAATAATCTTCATATAGATGTTCTATCTGGCTTTTCTAATGGAGTTCATATGCTGTTTAGATGGGGTTTATCTGAGGTTTATATGGGGCTCATAGGTATATGTGATTCTATGTGTATTTCTTTTTAAATGGGATATGATTCGATAGAACTTATATACTGTATATACTTCGAGGTGAGCAAAAGCAATATTTCTTGCATTCATATGTATTTATATATACAGTAATCTGTTTTTTCCTGGCTTACCCCCCAAAAAATGTTAATGCTAAAGCCAACAATTGATGGTTAAGAGCATTAGGATGTGCTTCCAACTCAGAAAGTGGTCTATAACTACCACCTATATATACATATACATACATATACATAATATAACCCATAAATAAGCCATACATAACTGGGGTATGTTATGGATATTCCATGTATGAGGTGTGGAGAAGGTATGACTGGGATATGTTCTCTTGCAAGTTGCATGTGGCTCTCGCATTCCGGGGATCTTCTGGATGGAGAGAGGCCTCCCAGTTGCCTGTAGCCTCTATATCAACCCTTCGATTCTTCCGTCCTTAACAAGAAATCTGTGTAAGAACAAGATCACTTTCAATAAAGAAATTGCAACACATGCAAGAAATTTGTCAACTGTAGTAACCATAGTTCTGATACTACCAATATCAATCAAGTAATTAATTAGTATAACTATTGACATGTGGCTCCAAGCCACCATTTTACGGACATATGTTGTCTGATACAATTGGTTACATACCAAGCATATGGGGATGATTTCTGGGTTATGTTGTCCAAAACTGGATGCACCAACTTATGGGTATGTTGATGAGAGAATGACGACCAAACGCTGGATTTTTGGAGACCTCAAAACAGGAACTACCACCAATGACACCTATCACCTATCCATTGTGAAGATCTTGGGTGTGAGTTTCCGTGAAACGAATGCAAGAGATGATAGGAGATGGTTTGGATGGTTTGGATGGTTTGGATTATTATTCCCAATATATGAACATTCATAAAATTCCATGGTTCCAAACCACCGGGCCCAGTGATAAGAGATGGTTTGGATTCGGATAAGATCCAATTTATTGTGGGATTTCTCACCCTGGCTTCTCATCGATCCTCATTGTCCCCATGATATGCTGATAATCAATGGATTGGTTTAAGGGAAAATCTACAGGAAACCATGGTTTTTCCCATCAAATATAGGGCTTTCCTGTAAATTTTCCCATCATCCAATTCTATGAGATAAGCTGGGTTCTTGGTCTCCAAGTGATTTGATTCCTGATATTCTCGCAATATTTCCAACATATCTCCATTAATCGCCATTAATCACTACAAATCACCCCCGTTCATGGCTGACATTTTGTTGGGTCCTGTGGCCAATTCCATCACCAGGCAGAAGCAACCTCAGTTGCTGCTGGCAAAGACGGCCCATGATTGAGAAAACATATGGAAAACACGTGGCAAAACACGTGGCAAAGATTCAGTTAACCATTTCTCTCCTGGGAAGTGGGATTCAAGCATCGAATCCGGAGGACTTACCCATGAAGTATAGGGATGTAACCAATGAATTATGTGTATATATATATTATTATTATTATTATTACTATTATTATTATTATATATAAATATACTATATATATATATATTAGATACCTTATTTTACTGTATATATATATATACATATTATATATATATTATATTATTATATTATACTATATATATACATATGTCTGAAAATGGTGGATACCTTAAAATTGCAATGCGATGATTTGGAAAATAGTAATTAACTCCATCTTCAAACAAAGTGGGATATGTGATGATATTTGTGTGTGAGTGAGAATTCTGGATACAAACAAATTTAGCCAAACTAATGAGAAATATAACGAAACCGTGGGTTTTGAGATAGCCTGTTTGCAGATAAAACTCATATCATAGAATTCCAAAGGTACCCCTCCAAAGATACCTCCGGTTTCGGTACTTTCCAATCTTAAAAGGGGTTTACCCTGCGGTAATCAAACATGGCTTGCCGGAAAATTCCCCGACGCGTCGCGGTGTCGCATCTTTTTCGATACGGAACGCGTCGCTCCTCATTGCGGAAAGCCCAGCATACCTCGGTTGCCGATGGCCGTTGATCACATACTGATTGGTGCTTTAAAAGGACATTTTTCATAACTGATAATCTAATTGGGTAATAAATTATATCAACTGGGTAATATTGGTAGTTGAGTATTACCATGATTAATACCGATAGTCATAATACTTAACTATAGTATTCGTATATATATATATTACCATGATTATTAAGTATACCACTTTTCATATCGCTTATGTATTATAATATTCAGTGGCTAATCAATCATTGGTTTCCACTGATTGGTGCTTCCAAAAAACACACTGCCACTGCCACCAAAGCTGGGGAGTCACACATGGCCAGCCAGATACCCTGCAAAACATCACAAATCAACTTAGCTGGTGAGTGAACGTAGATAATCCCATAGCAAAAGACGATTTTGGAGTAGTTTGTAGCCATCCAAGATTAACTTGGTACAGTAGAACCTGATGATTGTTACCATCTGGTTATTTAACATAGCCATGGACAATCACCATGTTTAATAGGTAAACCATCTATAAATGGGCAATGTCCATTGCTATGTTAAATAACCAGAGGGTATCATGTTGCAAACTAGCTATTGAAAATGGCCATAGAAATAGTGGATTTTCCCATTAATAGCATGGTGATTTTCCATAGTTTTTTGTTAACGTTTACCAGAGGGTACAACCTGATGACTGTTATCATTTTCATTGCCAATCTTGGATACCCTGCAAAAAATGACATTTTTTTTGCTGGTGAACGTAGATATTCCCATTACCAAAAGACTAGTTAGGATTAGTTTGTATCCATCAAAGATTAACCTAGTAATCATCATTAATCACCATTAACCATCATAATAATCACTATAAATGGGCCATTTTTGATGGTTTTCTCTTACTCTAACAAGATGCCAGGACCTGAGCAAGTCACCAAGCCTTCACCTTAAGTGCTTCACCCATGGCACTATTTAAACCAGTTTTAATACTATGGAAATCTATGGACATCTATGGAACATGATCATAACGTTCCGAATCTACAGATGCATTGATGCATTGTACCCTCTGGTAAACTAACATAGCTATTGAAAATGGCCATAGAAATAGTGGATTTTCCCATTAATAGCATGGTGATTTTCCATAGCTATGTTAAATTACCAGAGGGTACATCATATTGGTTCTTACCTTGCAGATCGCAAATTACAACCCCATCATGTGTCGACTCGACTTTCAGCCCATCAAAAACCATGTTTTTTCTGGTTGATATATCGAAAAATGTCCGTTTAAATATAGATTTATATAGTCTCAATAGTAAAAACTAATCAGTGGATATATGATTTATCTATATTTATCTATCAATACAGTAATATCTATAGTAAGTGGACTACATGTATATAAATGACCATCCCATTAAAGTTCACTATAGATATTCACCATCCCATTCCAATATTTGGTATCTTAAAACTCGTATGATGTTTATAAATGTGGACAAACCAAGACCTGGTATTTGAAAATACTTTTCCATCAATCTCCATGTATAAAATTGCACACCCATCACCATAACAATCACCATAGCAACTTTTGGACCATTTCACAATTTTCACGAGGTCAAACAAAATACTAGAAGTAGTAGGTCACTAGTGGAAATAGGCTGAAGTTTGAAAAATGCATTTTCATGCATTAGACTTTCAAAATATCAAAATACTAGACCTTCCCATCCAAAAGCTGATGCAGTGGGCCGTAGCTGTTTTTACCAGGTCTTCAAACTTCATGATCATAGCATTGTTACCCCATTCTTATCCCATTAAAAACATCATTAAGTCACCATGATCTTCCATGAAATAGTCCGTTTTTATATCCACATGTTTCTTGCTTCACCAACTCTATCATCCAATTTCCAAGTCTTCCAAAGTCAAAAAAACATGTCACATAGATCTGATATCAACTATATGTTGGTTGATGTTCACCAATTTATCTCATGGCACTATAGATATTAACATATACTAACTATAGATATTCACCATCCCATTCCCATGTCACCACCATAGTATCACCAAAATAATGGGAATGTGGCACCATACTAAGGTGTAAAGAATATACATGATAAAACATACACTCATTTATGAACATACTAATGGTACTCATTCCGATCTCACCACGTGGCATTTCCGCAGGCGTTCGCATTTCCAGTGCAGCCGTACCAAGCGCTGCGGCTCGAACTTCGCCGGCGCGCTGTCAGACGCCGCAGTTTTCTCGGCCCAGTCGCGCAGCAGCTCCAGAGCATCACGACCCACCTGGCGGTCCAAAAGAACCTGGGAACCACAAAGGAATCATAGCAGTTAACCATAGGGGATTTATATTTGGATTTATATTTGGATATATATATATATATATGTGGATTAATATATATATATATATAAATATGGAATTTCATGTGGGACTATATATGGATACAAACGGATTTGTGGCAGATTGAAGCTTCTACGATATAGCTACAGCCATTTTTTCACAAATAAGCCGTGACTAAGCTATTATTATTGTGTTTCAATCACTGTATTACCATTTGAGCCATTAAAAATACCCCTATCCCATCTCATTGTACTAGCTGGTTGATAGGTTTCCCTACTATGGGTTATGATAATCCCCAGTAAACCAGGTAGTATAATCTCCTATAGCAATCAATTAACCAGGGTATTTTGTTCATGGATCATTTAACCATAGGGGCTTTATGGGATAGATATCCAGAAAATGATCCAATTGGTGGCAGACCCACCCCCCTGAAAAATATGAGTTCGTCAGATTGGATCATCATCCCAAATATTGGGGAAAATCAAAGCCATGTTCCCAACCACCAACCAGATTAACTATAGTTATATCTACCATAAACCACAATTATTTAAGCCACTTATCTACCATAAGTTATATCACCAGTGATGGTTGAAACCTGCTGGTTTCACCAGAGGGAGATCTCCAACATGTGCCACGGGGATGTGCTGATTTTTTTGGTCATCTATCCCGTCCATCCCATATTGGGAATCATTTCTTAAACAATTGGATGAACATGGGATGAACATATAACATGTATATAAAAATATGCAATGGTATATAAATATCTATATATGGTGTATATATATATATATGAAAATGGAATGACCATCCCCCAATATAGGTATACAACCAGCTTTTGATGCTGTCACAGCTGGGATGTTAATGAATTGTATAGGATATTATAGGATAACATATGTATATATATATATATATATACGGGACGACTATTGGAACTTTCACCAAACTTATGGGTATTTTGCGCACACACGGTGATATTACCCATGAATACTGGCTAGGATGTGATTAGCAACCTAAAAAAAATGCTGGGGTATATCCGATGAACATCCAAGTGACGTGTAGCCTCTGGTAAACTAACAGTTCGCGAACTGGAAAATCACCATAGCTTTTTGATGGGTAAATCCACTATTTCTATGGCCATGTTCAATAGCAAGTTGTTTGTTTACCATAGGGTAAATGCAATCTTTGGAACACCATTCTTCACCTACCTTAGGGTCATCTTGGGAGTACATGTTGTACTAATTATCCCATACCTTGACCGCTCAAGATGAGCCTATAAACATAGATCAACTCCCGGTAGACACAGCGACCCTTTGGGACCCAAGCGGAGCGACCATTTTGTACATGGTCAGTAACTACACACCATTGACAAATGGGAAAACTCGGGGTTTATGACAGCGGCTTCAACAGAGAAAGTTGAAAGTTGATTTTAGCAAAAAAGAAACACAAATCAGAGACATCATAACAAAAAAACAACCCGACAGGAAGAATCACCAGAAAAAAAGAAAAAGAGCAAAAAAAAACACATAAACACCTTGATTTTCCCAAGTGGTTTATGTTTTCTTGTTTTTTTTGTTGTTGTTAGTAAAGCAATAGGTAAACCGTCCCCCAAATCATATCAAATCATCATCTTTACGGGTGGGATTGAAACCATCAATCCATATGAGTGATTTATGACATTGCTTTACTAAGCTTGTTTTTTTCTGTTTTATATGTAGCTTTACCAACATGAATTAAACTCATTAACCACTAGTATTCACAATTAATTCTCATTATTTACACCATATGTACTGTAAATGGATTACTATTGCTGACAAAATTGTTTTACTAAATATAAATCACTTAAATGGATGAAGCATGTCAATGAATCCACATGGGTGATTTATGACATTGCATATCATGGTTTTGCTGATCATATGTTAATAGCGATTGTTATAGTAATATGGGTCCATATGGGTGGTATTCATACCAAGCAAAATATAATTGTTGATCATTATTGTCAATATGGGTGGTATTAACAATTAACAATTATCATTATTTATCACCTGCAATATCCTGCAATGGTTTATGTTTTTTGTTCAAATGCACTTGACATACATATCAACAATCACTAATATGTTCCTAATTTAATTGTAAAAATACCCATATGATATACATCGGTGCACAACAATGCAGAAATCATCTGGTTGATCCATAGGCCATGACATCCCGTGACCTGGGCCCTGCCCGGCCCCGCCAGGCCCTCGGCACCTCGGCCCACAGCACATCGTGGCATCCCATGGCGCCACTCAGTTCTTGCAGACACTGCAGCAACCAGCGCGCCGCAGGCGTCCTCAACTGGCCCGGCCCGTGGCCGGCAGGCCGGGCAAGCAACGGGTCACCGACAAACAATATTAAAAAAAAACAGCTATATGTTAAAAAAAAACACTAAGCTAGCATGTTGAAATAATAGCTATATTTAAAATAGAACACCAAACAAACAATATAAAACAAAAAGAACAACACCACCAAGCTAGCATGTTATAGCTCAAAAAGCTTAGAATGTCGACATATTATAGTGCCATATCACATGAACCTTCACCCTTAACCACCAGTCGGTCTCCAGCCCCTGGTGACCCCACAATCTGTGGCAGGGCACATGGGTGCCAAGAGAATTGCCTCCACCGCGCCACGTTTGAAGGGCGAGAAAGCGTGTCCTCGGCGGGAGGGAATATGGGATATTCTAACATGATATAACTATATATTATCCCATAGTTAAAATATATATATATATATGAATTACTATGAATTCCCATATTGTAGATATAAATCATATTATCCCAAGTCCCAATGGGAATTTGTAGCCATTCATAAGCCCAAGTCATTATATAACTAACAATTATATAACCTCCAGATATTAACCTACGTAACATGATATATCTGGAGGTTATATAACATTATATAACTATATAAACAACAATACTACTTGGGACTTGGGGTTATGGATGGCTACAAATTGAACGGATTGTTTGACCTCCAGATCTGTGGCCAGATGATCCGACGATCCGATGTTTAAGTGTGTATCCCCGTGACCAATGACCAATAAACCAGATAAACGATAATATCATCCTGATATTATATATATTAAACCATGATAAACATTGATAAACTAGATATTTGTGTCCATATTCTATATCATGGTTTATATATATATATATATAAACATGATATAAACGACAATTCTTAACCTTCACGAATAAGTGGGTGATTAACTTTCACCATAGTACAGGTTATATGGGGGGTTTTGCTGGTAAAGTCATATATAAAATATATAAAATCACCACATGTCTACCGATTTCTCAAAAGAAATGGTCCCAGACACCCAGCATAGCAGGACCCAAGAGATAGCCACACGCAATGGTGATGGCCCGAGCCTGCCGAACTTCGGCCAATGGGCCGTGGCGGGTGCCCATTGGCCAAGCACAGTTCGTGGTGGATTTATGCGGATTTATGCCATGTTTGATCTTATTATCAATGGCCATTTCAGGAACCTAAATTGGAGGTACCTACCATATATAAGGCCTATATAAGGCCTATGTAAAGGAATATCCCGACAAAATATGGCCTTATATGGTACAGTACCTCCACTTTAGGATCCTGAAATTCCCATTGATATTGTGGATATCTTCAATCTCAAACCTACTATCTGGATCAAACATGATCAAAACCTCTTGTACCATGTTTGGGAATTAACAGCCAGCTAGACAACAGATATTTTTAGGTGATCTCAGGGCAACCGAAAACCGAGGGCACCAGGGTTTTGATCATGACACATATGGATTTACACCTTTTGTTTCGTCCGTCTTCCATATTCAGCAAAGATTGAGGGTATGTCCAAAGATAAATACAGAAAACCATCATCGACATGATAGTGATTTTAATGCTTTCATCATTCAAGTAAGAGTGACCCATGCACAGTTTGTAGTAATTGTAGTATAAACACAAGAACCCCCGCAGTGAGACAAATGGGGTTTGTCTGAAGATAGGGTACCCCGAAATCATATGAGTATCACAATATGTCGTATTAAAATGGTCATTTATGGCTTTAAGCCAAATGGTCGAGATCAAGTTTTTTAAAAACACCATCCCTGGCGGTCTGACCTGTCGGCATCAATTTACGGCTTGCTCAGAGTCTCCAGATGGATAGATTCATAAACTCATCTTGATCCAGGCAAAACTGATCAAAACCCTCTGGTTATGACTACAGTAACAGTTTGCGAACTGGAAAATAAATGAAAATAACCCATAGAAATATATTGATGTAGCTATAAAAGTCGTGATCCTTTTCCATGGCGAACTGTTAAATAACCAAAGGGTATATCTTTAGACAATTCCAAAGTCAATCCACTGAATTCTGGTGGATCCTAGGGATGGAAAACACTCAATCCTTTGATTCCCATTGGTACGTCATCATCATTCAACATTCAACGGGAATATCATGGGTACATTAATGAAATATATAACAAAAACAATATATTAATATTACATAATATGACATGCCCTAGTCATCTTGGTGGCTTCAGAATCCCGAAAACAATCCTCGGAAGTTTGCTGGGAAAATCATCAATGACCAATGAGGGATTTTCCGGCACGTCATCTTCAATTACTAGAGGGTTAATGGTTGATCTTACACTTCCGCCCGCACAACCAATGATTATCAAACACGAATCTACTGTCCGCGTTTGCCACACTTGGAATAGACCCACAGTGGTCATCGTGTCCCATCTGTTATCTTCTTGAGGCGGCCGACCTTAGACACCTTTTCAAGAAAAAAAAATCTAGCTGGCAACCAGGTGCTGTAAATGGTTAATACATCCTAGGTTTTTTGCCGAAAGATTGAGTTGTACTAAACTACCCTACCTTCTGATTATTGAAACCAGTCAAACCCATCTTTGTTGCTTAAATTCTGCTGATGAGATCACCAAATATTTGCTTCTTCAATACCCTCTGGTAATTTAACATAGCTATTGAAAATGGCCATAGAAATAGTGACTTTTCCCATTAAAAATTGTGATTTTCCATAATTAGTTATGTTAGTTTTGGCTGGTTACTTCCCCATCTTCCGTGGCTTTGCTCCAAAAAAAAAAAAACTGATCTCCTGGATTTCCCATTCGGAAGATGCAACAGGTTATTTTCACACGAAAAATCACCATGTTTTGTACCAGAATCCCATGAATAAATATAGTGATAATGTATATAATTGGATTTTTATTGGATATGGGTATATGATACTATATTCAAAATAGTATCATATACCCATATCCAATAAAAATCTAATGATATACATTATCACATATCTCTATATATATAAATACATATAAACAACAGAATAATTCATTGTACATCCCCATGAAATATCCCCATTATACAAATATCCAACATGGCAATTGGAAATCCCCTATAAATAGATATTCTATGATATTGGGTCTATAAATGCCACTATATTCCATCATATATTCCACTATAGATATATATATATATATATATACATAATGTTTAAGTTTCGATTTAATTATAACGGGTATGTATAATGATGCTGATTCACCAGCTGGTCGACCTCTCCCCCACCGCCGTTTTAAGGGCCGTTTTAGAAAGGGGCCTCCTCTCCACCACATTTCCGCCAGCACCACAAGGCTCCACACCAGTTGCGCTGCTGTTCCATCGCCAAAGCTTGCGCACGGTCGAGCCAACCTGCCAAGGTGCCACAGCCGGGTTTTTGAATTGAGACCCTATGCGTTATCTACTGTTGTTATTCTACTAGATAATTATATATATAGATATATATTCAAAATAAAAAATAAATAAACATAATAACAATAAACAACTGGTACAGATTCGAAAAAGCACCTTCGAACGGGTTTTTCATGGGTTTTATGTTTCTATGAAACAGATGGGGCCCCTGATTTTTTGACCAATCTTTGGCCCTGATTTCCAGATGGAGATGGAGGTAATCAATTTGAAAGCCTATAAACTAGAGACTGGTTGGTGGTTTTAACAATCTTGAAAAACATTAGTCAATGGGAAGGATTATCCCATATATTATGGAAAGTAAAAAATGTTCCAAACCAGGAGAAGTAAAATTGGAGAAATCTAACATAGCTATGGAAAATGGCAGATTTGTAGATGATTTAGCTGTTGAAGATGTTGATGTTCATAGCCATGTTAGTTTACTAGAGGGTAATGTTGGACTACGATAGACTTAGGGTCCTTTAGTCTGAATCTAAGGTCATGGTCACGGTCTCACTGCATTGCTGGCTGCTGCTATCCTCTGGCAACTTAAAATAGCTATGATAGGTAACTCATCTATACATGGGCCATGTTCATCAATTTTCCATAGCAATGTTGAATTACCAAAGGTGCCTTGGCTATGAGCCTTCAAGTAGGGGACCTGAAACCATGAAACCATCAGGCTTGATCATGTTGGTCAGTCAATAGGCGTTTCCTTTTTTTCCCATGATGTAGTACATCAACAACTAATTCACAAACCTGAATAGTTCGGCCATATTGGGATGATTCCTCTTACCATCATTCCAGTGAGGGAGAATAGTGAGGTCGTGATATGAAATTTACCCAGACTGTGTGAATTCCTTACTAACCCTACCTGCATCCCCTTAATTCCCCTTAATTCCCCTATTTTCCCTAACATCTCCCCATTGTTGGTTGACTTGGAGGATCATCCCAGTAATAACTGCTTAGTAATCCTGGTCCCCCGGCCGCGGGTTATCCCATATACGATCCGTGGGATGATCCTCCAAGCCATCACTAATCATAGTAATCATAGCAAATGATATCTCATTAATCATCCAACCAAGTAACTTGTTAGTAACCATAGTAAACGATGATCATAAATCATAGTAATCATTAATCATGAATCATGATTCATGTTCCCACCATTCCATTAGTCTCCCATGAAAAAGACCAGAAGCTCCCAGCTATAAGTTGGTTTATAATGTTTATAATCACCATTCGCCCATAAAATCATGACTAGTTACAAACTGTTGCAATGATAAACCAATTTAGCCAACAAACTTGGGCACCACTCTGTAACCCAAAAAGATGCCGAAAAGTGTGTGAAACACAGGGTGGGATTCTTCGCTAAAAAATTGTCCACAAAAAAAAATCCAGGTTGCCAACGTTTCAACCACCTTTGGGGGGTTGCTATAACCTCAAAATCCTTAGTCAATCAAAATTTTCCCAGCATTTTCCCTATAAAAAATGCCAATTTTGGTGGCTTCCTCTACCCGATGTTTCAGCCAAACTCATAAATCATCTAGAAATAAGCAATTTTCATAGATGTGACCTGTAACTTCGATGATCTCAGTGCATGGAATGAGATGCACTCATTCCAAAGCTATGTCGTCTGTGAGGATTTGCAGTATTTCCGAAGTCCCAGATGACTCCGTAGGCACGGGCATGACTCAACATGTCGGAGAAGAGCATGTGGTCCATAACAGCGTGGATTGCGCCTGGGAAAGTTCTTCGTCCCAGGGGATCCACTGAGAAGTCTATGACTCGATGGTAGGTGCCTGTTCGCGTCTGTGCATAGGGAAGATGTGATCGATCTCGCACTCAATGTTTTCCCATACCCATAGGATCCATGCTATATATGGTGTGCCATGGATCCCATCAATATACCTCCTTTATGTTAGCATTAATATACCAGCACCATGGATCCGTATGAAAAAGTGGCCATTTTGGTGGCTTCCAGGCTCTGAAAAACTACCCGCTCTTCACCGTCACCTGGCGGCAGCTCAGGCCACGGCAGCTCTGCGCCAGGAACCGTCGCCCGCACGTGGCTGGTGAGCAGCTGCCGAATGAGCGCCGAGCGCACGCGCGGCTCGGAGAGGAAGTGGGCCACGTAGACGGCCCAACGGGAGGAACCTGGGGATTTTTTCTTTTTGTGGGATGAAATGATGATAGATGATGATAGATGATGATTTTTTTTTTTGGAGGTCAGGATGAAATGTATTATAGAGAGAGTATAGAGATATAGCGATTTATCTTATACGGAGAGAGAGATGATGATGATAGATGATAGATGATAGATGAAATGATAGTGGGGGATTGATTATATTGCATTTCATTGGTGGAGGAAAATTAGCGGTCAGGATGAAATGAAAATGGGATAGATGTATGTATAGATGTATGGATAGATATCTGATAGAGAGAGAGAGAGAGTATAGAGATATATAGAGAGAGTGTAGAGGGAGATGTTGCATTATGTTGTATTTGTAACTGTATATATATATATATACACATGAGAAACAATACGTTGCTCCCAGGTTAACAACTACCACATTTTATGAAACCAGGAACCCCTGGCTACATGCAACGTGGCACACCCAAAGTGGTGATTACACTTCAACGGGGCTACAGTAGCAATTTTAAGCTAACCTCAGCATATGCGGCATGACCTTTAAGGACTGGGATATGATTTCCTGAGTGGATACCCTGCAAGAACAATTTGCGAAATCTAACCATGGCTCTACGCACCATAAATCCTATTGCTAGCATTGAATCATAGTATCTCATAGTTATCAAATGCTATAAACCAAATTATAATTTGCAACAATTATTATTACACACCCAATGATCATGGTTATTTGTTGTTGCATATCATCATCATCATCATCATTATGACCATTACGTAAGTTGCAAACCAATTTGCATTTTCATATGGCAGTGTGTCAAAACCGTGTACCCCTGTAGTTCACATCAAAATAGCTGGTAAATGGATGTTCATCCCACTAAAAATGGTATTAATAGGTATTGATCCATACCCATATCATCATTACACAGCCAATCGCACCTTACTCAACCAGGTCTTCCCAATCGCAACGTCGCCCAGGGGCCGTTCTGTTCCAGGAGCTTGCAGTATTGCTGCGTCAGTCTTTGGAAGGCGACTCCACTACAAGCAGTGCCTCAATGACCAGCATGATGCGAATCTCACTGTTACCCCAACCAAAAGAAAGGTCAACAGTTGAAAAAACGAGGCCTGATTTCTTGGGAAATATCAACATCATCAAATCGTACTTTCTCTTGGTTTTATCATGATTTTGTTCATTGGTGTTGGTAAACACCAATACTTTGTCAGGGCCAATGGGCGGGATATTCCAGCCGTCTTCAACGATGGAAAACTGATCCTGCTGGCGGTTTCCATCACCCAAACATATTCACTCAATGGGGATTGTGGTTCCAGGTAAGAATCAAACAACATGATTGAAATCAGCATGTAGACAACGGGGGGTTAACATGATTTGATCATATTTAGCCAACAAACATCTACACAAATATACACAAATCAGAATGCATCAACCGACTATGGTGCAAGTTGAAGCCTCTCAAGACAGCTCAAGACGCTTGGCTGCGCCGACCAATGGACAACCAACCAACGGCAGATTCAAGTCGCACTTACATGGAATCCATGGTAATACCAAAAACATCTTCACAAAATATTGGCTAGTATAGCTCGGTATAACTCGTATAATTTATCATCAACCAACAGAGGTTGTCTTGCAGCCACTGCTCACGTAACGCTGCATAAGTTAAATTAAAACATGCATGTATATATATATATACATATATATATAGTAAATTATATTATATTATATCAAATTATATTATATTATATTATTTTATATTATTTTATATTATTTTATATTAGTTTATGTTATATTATATTATATTATACTATATTATATTATATTATATATATTATTTTATATTATATTCCAAATGTTTCCTAATTACTTAAATACTGTACCACCATTAAAACATACGTATATATCATATCTTCCAAACATAATTTCCATGAATTTTCCCTGAAATCCCCATGAAATACCACCCATTTTCTGACCAAAAAAAACCACCAAGGCACGTGCCGTTTCACCCTGCAAAGCCAGCATCAGCACTGAGAAATGCCACGACAAAGAGATGTCTAAGGGATCCTTCCTAGGCTTCGTGAGGCACAGTTCACTTGGTTCACCTTTGGTAATATAACCCTCTGGTAATTGGTATATATTCCAACAAGGGGAGGCCAATTGCAAGCGAGTGCGTTAATTGCCCTCTGGTAATTTAACTTAACGATAGCTATTGAAAATGGCTTATTCAAAGCTGATTTTGCTAAAATAAAATGGTGATGTTCCATAGCGAACTGTTAGTTTACCACAGGGTAACTATAGCTGGTTGGTGGTTTCAACCCATCTGAAAAATATGCAAGTCAGTTGGGATGATGAAATTCCCAATATATGGACAAATCATCCAAATGTTCCAAAACACCAACCAGTATAGTATTTGTGGGCAAAAGAAAGCACTTGCAACTGCCTCTTGTTGGCTTGGCCCCCTCTATTTATCACCCTACCAGTGAGAAAAGGATCAGCGATGAGTGGATTCTCTGCCGTAAACATGATTATAGCAACCCACAAATAGAAAGAACATTGGGAAACCTGGAAATATGAAGTAAATGTTATGTATAACATCCTGGAATCACTTTTCTATCTTTCTGAGGCTTGCTATCAGTGCTAGCGTAGATTAACTGGGGTTGAAAAGGGTGAAATAGACATGGCAACCATTTAGATATCATACACAAGAACAAATATCTGCAAACATCTGGGTAAATTATAATATTTCACTAACCTGAATAGTTCGGCCATTTGCGGATGATTCCCCTTTGAGGGGTCGGTTGCAGTGAGGTCGTTATAATTTACCCAGAAACATGTATATACCTGTTTATAACAAAAGAATGCGCACGATCCATGAAAATGGGACATGTTAGATGGTCATTCAAGTGTTTGTTCAACAGGTCCGAGCCTTTAGCCACAATTCAATGGCGTCATTGGGCTTGTACCACCACCCATGGGCCAAAGTGTTCCAAAAGCGAAATTTTTGATGTTTTTCTCCAAAATGGGTGTTTCCCATGGGGGTATATACCCAGTATACCCCCAAGTTAACAGTGGCCATTTTGATGGAACATGTTGGGAACATGAGGTGAAAAAAACCAGTGGAACTTGGGGAGCGCAACATCTGCCCAAGATTCGTATAGGTCTGGTAATCAAAATGTGCTACGTCGGAGCTTTCCCCCAAGGAGCAGCCGGCAGCCATCCGAATGGCTGCGAACTGCAGACTCTCGGGAGGATCGGAGGTACCTGGGACAGCGACAGGACAGGATTCATGCTTAACTACACTTATGGCCCAAGTAACAGTTATAGTTATAACTCCTATTACTAATGTTAGAAATTGTTTTTATATTAATATATATATATATATAAAATATCATTGATATATCATTAATAATTAATAAGTCGATTTGTAACTGTTAGTTGGGCCATAACTGAGTGGATTGTGTCCCTTGGATCATCTGGAGGAAAGGTATCACTTGGTGCATCTTGGTACAGAAAACATCCCAACAGATTGAAGAGAATCAATTTTTGCTGCAAGATTTAGATGCCCCAACTTGATGATCTGATATTTTGATGATATTTTTTTGTATAACAACTTCAAAAAAGATCAAGAGGCTTAAACCACGCATTATGGACACTGATCTGTGTCCGTAGGATTGTATTTTTCTGATCTTTTCGGCATTTTTTTTTTGAGGGGGGGGGACTATGATTTTACTGTGATGATGGAGAATCCCTTGGTCGGCGGGGTCCTCCAGGGATGGAAACAATTGCTCCAACGTGTCAAAGATCATATACATACCTTGCAAAGTCCAGGCTTTGAAATTTTCTATGTGAATTTCGGGATATATATATATATATATATATGTATATTGTGAATTCTACAGTTCCAGCTGTCACTTTGCCAGTTGCAGGGGGTACGCACTTACATGTGTGGCTGTACAGGGCTCAGGATCGATCAGGGGGTCGCATGTGGAACCAAAACAAAGCCCTGTGACGTTGGGCGCGCCATTGGGGTGGCTTGGGATCAGGAGGTCCCACATAACTGACTTACAACACCATCAGGAGGTGGTATCCCCAAAAGGGTCAGGTGGCCCCAGTGAACCTTGGAGGAGGATTGACTCTTGCTACCAGTTTAATACTGGTAGCGGAGCTACGGCTCACCGCTACTTGGTGGATCCTGGAGGAGGACAGAAGCAGCGGAAGTGAGTGAGATCCAGGGATGGATGGAAGTGCGGGGGACAGTCAACTCCCAGCAGCGGGTGGTCAGACGGGTAGCAATCAGCTGCCTTGGCATCTGATCCCGCCTTTCAAACCTGGCGATACCGACATCAACGACTACACACGTCGACTGGAATTCCTGGCCAACATCTGGCCGGTTGAGCACTTAGCACAACTGGCACCCAGAGCATGCCTCCTTTGTGAAGGAACTGCATTCCAGAAAGTCGTCAGACTGGAACCCTCGAAGTTGAAGGTTCAAACCATTGACGGCATCAAGCTAGTCGTGCAGACCCTTGGAGGAGTATGGGGCCAATCGAAACTGGAGACCAAGTATGAGCGTTTTGAGAGAGCTCTCTATGGAACCGTCCAGAAGAGCGATGAAACGCACTCGAGCTACCTAGCTCGCCATGAGATACAGTTCGAGGAGCTGGTCAACATGGGCACAACTCTGGAAGAGATGCGAGCCTATGTCCTAGTTCGTAACTCTGGATTGTTAGCAGAAGACAAGAAGAAGATCATCATAGATGCACAGGGAAACCTCGAGTACAAAAAGGTTGTAGACTCTCTGCAGTTGCTTGGATCCAAGTTTTTTGCTGAAGTGCAGTCGGGTGGAACACGCAATAACACCCGAACCAAAACCTATGACGTTTTCCATGTCGATGATGGTGATCGCGAATATGAAGAAATGGATGAGATGGCTGTTGTTTCTCTGGATCAGTCTGAGGATGCTGGTTTGGAGACCCTTCTGTCGGAAGGGGATGAAGATGCACTCATCATTTCACAGTTCGAAGAGGCCTTGGTGGACTCGTTGCAGAATGACCCAGAAGTTGCAACATGTCTAAACAGCTATGTGGAAGCGAGAAAAAGGGTCACAGAAAAGGTGAAAGCCCGTGGGTTCTTCGGAAGTAAGGGTTCAAAAGGGAAATCAAAAGGCAAATTCAAAGGTGGTTTCAAGAACCGATTCCGAAAGCCACTAGCACAGAGAATCCTGGAATCAACATGTAGAATTTGCAATCAGCCGGGACATTGGAAAGCCGAATGTCCGCAAAGGGCGAAGTCCAATGCTCCTGGAACCAACAACACGGCATTCGCCGGCATGACACTGTTTTCCACCATGGCTCATTCGCCGCCATATGACCTTGCGCCTGAAGATGTTGATGCACCTCCACCGGAAGCCACGGCTTTCACGATGGAGGAGACATGCCTCATGACTGCCATGTATCATGTAAAGGGTCCTCAACATGATCATAGGCCATCTCATGCTCATGAGTTCAAGAGGGTGTTATCCAAATGTAAGCCAGCCTTTCTTGCCCGCCTTCCATACATGTGCAGGAGTCGACAGGAAAGTGAGAAATTGGTTTCAACTTGCGACCCCCTGAGCAAAAAGCATGAACAAGCCACCGTGAGGGTGCAATTGTCAGAGGAAAGTATCAACTTTGTCTCACAAGGAACATACGGGATAGTGGATCTTGGGGCAAGCATGTCAGTAATAGGACAGAGCCAATTCACTGACCTTTGTCAAATGTTGCCAAAGAGTGTATTGCAATCCATGAAAGAAGCCCCATGTGCCATTAATTTCCGTTTTGGTAATGATAGCTCTGTGATGGGTAACCGTTCCGTTTTCTTTCCAGTAGGTGATAGATGGATCAAGGTGGTGATAGTGCCATCCAACACTCCATTTCTCATTGCCAACAGTGTTTTTAGATCACTTGGAGCTGTCATCGATACAGGTCTGAATCAGATCTTTTTCAAAGCACTGGGCCGCACCGTGCCCATTGAGATCACCGATCGAAAGTTGTACAGGCTGAATCTTCTTGACCTTTTGCAGGCACCTGAACACGCCAAAAGAGAGCTAACGCTCTGTGCAGCCAGTCCTGATGAGACCAGCAGTGATGAAATAGGTGATGTAGCCAGGTCCAACGATGTGTGTCAGCCAATGAAATCCGAAGAACCAGCATGTACAGTCCATCCGACAGAGCATCCGAGTTTAATGCAGCCAGCCGTTCGACAGCAAGATCGGCTCAGTCCTGCCTGTCCACAACCCGTTGAGTGTCATCCGGTTGTCAGCCATGTCCCAGAGTCCTGTGGAGCCGCAGTTCGACCAGTTGGCCGATCGACTTCGCCGTCTGTCTGTGTCGGAAAAGGACTCCGAGAGTCTCCAACAGATCATGTCAATGACACTTGCCGAGCTCGAGCACGAGACCATCAAGTTCGGCAAAGCTCACTGCGGGAAGAACTATGCTTCCATGGTGAACGAGACCCGCTACATGACGTGGTTTGCAGAGACCTACAAGGACAGTCGCCGTGCGGAACATGTCAAGTTCCTTCGATTCATCCAGTTGCATGTGGAGAATCTGGAGAAGAACATCCAGGAGATCAGTGCCACGACCCGGCCCAAGGCCAGAGCCTGTCCCAAGGCTCATGCCAGCACGATGCCCATCGACTTGGAGTCAGAGCCCGAGGAGTGGGATCAAGTGCCAGAGGAGAACACCCTGGAGCTCCTCCACATGCAGCAACGCATGATCGAGATCGAGAACGTGATGCAGCAAGTTCTTGCCCATCTGAAGGGGCCAGCCGGCGAACCACAGTAATCCAGTCCGAGCCTGATGGACGTTCTATGCCCGTCCAACCCTTGCTTTTGACTGACCTGTGTGGAACATGGCAACAACTATCCAATGACCATCTCCTTGATCCCATGATCGATCAACATGATGTGGGGGAAAACATCTTTCACAGTCGAACGTCTAATTGGATAGCCAAAGAAATGTGGCAGTATTTTGCCTCAAAAGGGGTTCTGTCTGAATCCCCTTTACTGAAGACTCACCGTGCCGATATTTTTGAGATCTACTGCAGTACAGAAAGTCAACTGACCCAGCAGGCCAGAGCACAAGGATTGTGGGCTGAACGCCACAGTTTGCAGGATGGTGACTTGAAGTCACAGTCGGGGCGATTCCGCCTTTATGAGAGGCTGCTCCGATTGCGTCCGAAGCATGTGTGGTTGTCTCCCAAGTGCAAAGCCTGGTGCCGGTGGAATGAGTTCAACCGTCATAAGACTCCTGAACTGGCCAGAAAAATCATGTCAGACCGTGAAGAAGACCAAGTGCACCTGATGTTGTGTGATGCCATTTTTGAATTTCAGCGACACCGTCACCCGTTTTGCCATGCACACTTGGAGCAGCCGGCAGGATCACAGATGCTGTTCCAGGAAGAGCTGGAAACTATCATGGCAAACACATGGCATGCGCGTTGCGATATGTGTACAGCAGGCAATCTCAAACATCCCATGACCGGAAACCCCATGCAAAAGGGAACCCAAATAGTGACCACCTCACAGATCATGCACCGATATGTTGACAGTCTAAAATGTGACAAGACTCATGATCATGATCACGTGGAAGGGTCTTTCCGAAATACCAAAGGGGATCGGGTAAACATTTCTCAATACACCGAACTGTATACCCGCACGTTTGCCATGAAGATTGCCCGTTGCATACGATGTAGCATCCGCGTCCATGAGCGCCTTGCAGAGGAATTTTCCTTCGTCATCCGAGATGCAGAGAAGCCAGCTGAGGTACCTGATCCTAAAAGAAGAAAACTCAGCCATAAACAACCCCCGACTGAGGCCTATCAAGATCAAGAAGTTTGGGATCAACGTGTTGACAGGTTTCTCAAAGTTGCCATGGATCAGGCCCCCAAAGTAGGAAAACGGTACCTCTCCAATGGGGACTTGATCCGACTCGCCCAAACCATGTTTCCAGAATGCCGGATCCAATGGATTGAGCTGTGCAAAGGGGCAGACAGATACAGGGGGCCTCCACCAAATGTCACCCGAAGCCAATGTCCTCTCAGAATGACTATGGGGATAAGAAGAGATGGCCAAGGCAATTTTTGCGAAGAAGCCTGGGAAGAATGGGGTAACCTCAAACGTAACCAACTTCTCCGAAAAGGGATTCCTGCCAGATTGATTGTGACCATGTTTGCTAGCCGACCGTATGAACCAAGTTCACCAAGCCAAAATCCACCGTCAGCTGGCGAAGAACCGGATGGATCTGCCAAGCGCCAGTGCACCCGCCAGGGTATGGACGAAGTTCCTATGCCAGTTCCTGCGTCGATAGAGCGGACGCCTGCCAATGGTTCTCCCGATGACTCTCCCGACGTGATCACAACTATGAATCCCAAACAGGAGACCAACAATCCGAATCAGATTCAAGATCCTGAGCCTTCCAAAGGTTTTCAACATGGTCCCCGATTCATGTGTTTGAAGTCTGAGGAGCGACAACAATTGGTTCGAATGCACAACAACCTAGGGCACCCTGACCCTACTGTGTTAGGAAATGTTCTCAAAGAACAGAGATGGCCACAGGAAGCCATTGATGGTGTCCGTGATATGCACTGCCCGTCATGCCACGAAAGACAGAGGCCACGACTTGCGCGACCCAGCCATCTTAGCATGCCCAGAGGTTTCAATGATGTTGTCTCCATGGATGCCGTGACTTGGACCAACAACCAAGGTCAAGATTTCATGTTCTATCACATGGTCGATGCTGGTACCAATTTCCAAATTGCCTTCCCATGCATGCACAGACCGACGTCCATCCAATTGTCACTGCTCATCAATAAGCATTGGGTTAGTTGGGCCGGTCCACCAAAGGAGTTAATAACCGATAGTGCAGGGGAGTTTTGCAGTGAGGAATTCAGTAAGTACTTGCAGAGCATGGACACCAAGGGACACACGGTCGCTGCGGAGGCACATTGGCAATTAGGCCGATGCGAAAGACATGGTGCCATTTTGCAAACCATGTTAGATAAGTACCAACAAGACCAGCCTATCAGCAGCGATGATGAATTCGAGATGGCCCTCCAACATTGCTGTGCAGCCAAAAATAGCCTTTCAAGATACCGTGGGTAGTCCTGAAATCCTGGTTCTTGGTAAGAGTAGGCATGTTCCTGCCAGCAATATGAATGAGGAGCCTGGACCTGCCGACATGCTTGCAGATCAGACCTTGGACTTGCCGGAGAGTAGCCAAACCCTCGAAATTAAGATGTTCCTACAAAACCTCCGACTGAGAGAAAATGCCCGTGTTGCCTTCATCAAGACTGACCATGACCTCAAACTACGACGATCCTTGTTACGTCGAAATCGTCCCAGCAGATCACAGTATGAGATAGGGGCATGGGTTATGTATTGGAGAGAAGGAAAAGGGGCATTAGCCGGAGGTTGGCATGGACCAGCCCGAGTTGTACTCTGTGAAGGGGATAATATCATGTGGTTAACCCATTTGAGTCGTCTTTACCGATGTGCCCCAGAACATGTGCGCTCACTCTCCAGCCGAGTGTCTGAGAATGTGCAGGCTTTTCAGTCAGCCGAGTTGGGACCGTTTCCCAAACCAACCGGAAGTGCCAGCCATCTGGGAACAGGGGTGTTTCAGTATCACGACTTGGTGCCATTGACCACCATGCCACTCAACCCAAATGCAGAAAACCCCAATGAGAACCTGAACAGCACCAACCCAGTCAACTCTAATCCCACGATAACCTTAACCGATAATAGTCCATCCCCTCAATCTCATAATACCATGCCCACAATGCCATTGCCACATAATCCCCAACAAGGAGACACCACGACTCAGCCCGATGCCGAGCCTGATGCTGCTAGCACTCATGCCTCACCTGAGATGTCTCCCAACAGCGGAGAACAGCCAGTTCTCACCGAGCCGAACCCTATCGAAGTTCCAGTGCCTGAAACAGAGTCATCAGGAAGTGAAGACTCCCTGATCAGTGAGAACACGAATACACAACAAGAAACTGGAGACTATTGGGTAATCCAAGGAAGCCAACTGATTCGTGTTCATCAGACTCCTCGAGTAAGGCCGTTTTTTCCAACGAACAGTGCCAACTGCCCGATTCCCTGCGACTGGCTTGCCGATGATCGCCAAACCCAGGTGACTACGGGACAGGGGTATTCTTGGAAACATGAAGATATATGGAGAAATAACATTCAAGCTCATTTGCCATTGCCAACACTTTGGACCGGAAAGACCATTTTTACCATCCTGGAACCATACCTTGACCAATGTCCCACTCAAGAACAATACATTGCCCTTTGCCATGAACAAACATCCAAAGGATATGAAATGGAAATCCTGTTATCCGTTGATGAAATCCAGCACTGCACTGAACAAACCTATGGTGATCAAATTGCCTTTCTTGCGTCGAGCGCCAAGAAGCAACGCTCGGAAGTGCGGGAAAAGGATCTTTCTCCCAGCGACAAGGTTTTGTTTCAAAACGCCAAATCGAAAGAGATTTCATCATGGCTATCAACGGAAACAGTCCGCAGAATAGCTAGAAATCAAATTCCCGCAGAACAAATCCTACGATCCCGATGGGTTTTGACCTGGAAGCCTCTTGAACCTAATCACACAGATCCCAAAGCGGCTACTCACAAACCTAAAGCGCGGTTAGTCATCCTGGGATATGAAGATCCTCAGCTGGATGAGATGGCTCGCGACAGTCCCACCATGGGACGAGATGCCAGAGTCCTCATCATGCAATATGCAGCCTCGGCCAGATGGCGTTTGCGAAGTTTTGACATCCAAACTGCCTTCCTAAGAGGCAGCCGGAAGGATGGCAGGGTTTTAGGAATGGAGCCTCCAGCAGAAATGCGGACGATGATGAAACTGGAGCCCTGGGAATGCTGTGAGTTACTCAAAAGTGCTTACGGGTTATGCAATGCACCATTGCTTTGGTACGAAGAGCTGAAAAACGCTCTTGTGTCTTTGGGATTTTTGATGTCCCCTCTGGATCCCTGTACTTTTGTGCTGCCAAAGAAAGGTCAACCAGGTATTCATGGTTTGGTGGGTATTCATGTGGACGATGGTTTGGGAGCCGGAGATGACACTTTCAATCGTGCCATACAACAACTGGAAGCCCGATATCCGTTTGGAAGCAAGCTGCAAGATGATTTCACATTTACAGGAATTCATATCCATCAGAACTGGAATGGCTCTATCGAACTGGATCAACAAAAATATATCGAAGATATACCACCAATCAATATTGATAGAGATCGACGTACCACACCAGAGGAGTCCGTGACAGAAAAGGAAAGACAAGCCCTGCGAGGTCTGGTGGGTAGTATCCAATATGCTGCTACGAACACGCGGCCGGACCTATCGGCCAAACTTAGCTTCCTACAGGCCAAGATCAATTCAGCACAGGTGAAAGATCTTTTGGATGGAAACAGACTCCTCAACGAAGCTAAACAGCACAAGGGAACCAAAATTGTGATTCAGAGTATTCCAATCCAAGATTTGCGTTTTGTGTCATTTTCTGACGCCTCTTTCGCCACCCGTGCCAACTCTCAATCCCAAAAGGGGTGTTTGATTCTAGCGGCTTCCAAGGAAATCGGCGAATGGCAGTCCAGCCAAGTGAGTCCATTGATGTGGTACTCCCGCAAGATTGCCCGGGTCGTAGGAAGTACGTTGGCTTCAGAAACTTATGCACTCAGTGGGTCAGTTGATCTTTTGTCTTGGTTACGTGTTCAATGGTCATGGTTATGTCAACCAAGTGATCTTTGGAAGGACCCAGATAAATGCCTGTCAATGTGTCCAGAATCATATGCCATCGTGGATTGTAAAAGCCTGTATGACTTGATTCAGAAGACCACAGTACCTCAATGTCAAGAATATCGCACTACGCTGGAAGCCCTGATCATAAAGGATCGCCTTCGAAATGGAATTGTTATCAAATGGGTTCACTCCGCAGCGCAGTTAGCAGATTGCCTTACAAAATCCATGGATTGCACTCCTCTACGGCGTTTCTTGCATGAAGGGCGATGCATAATACATGACATCGATGAGGTCTTGCGTGCCCGAGCAGACAAGAGAACGAAACAAATGTGGATGAACCAAATCGCTAAAACTGAACACAATGTGACATGATCCATATGGCCTTCTGTGGGATGCAACCTTTCGGTCATTGCCCAGCTGTTGAACGCCAATCCCGGTTTGCCTTTTGAAAGAACAATGTTTATAGAAAAAGAACAATTTTTGACGAGTGTGAATTCTACAGTTCCAGCTGTCACTTTGCCAGTTGCAGGGGGTACGCACTTACATGTGTGGCTGTACAGGGCTCAGGATCGATCAGGGGGTCGCATGTGGAACCAAAACAAAGCCCTGTGACGTTGGGCGCGCCATTGGGGTGGCTTGGGATCAGGAGGTCCCACATAACTGACTTACAACACCATCAGGAGGTGGTATCCCCAAAAGGGTCAGGTGGCCCCAGTGAACCTTGGAGGAGGATTGACTCTTGCTACCAGTTTAATAGTATATGTATATATATATATATATATGTATATTCAGGGAAAGGATCTACAAGTGATGGTGTCTCAAATGTTGGATTACCCAATTACCCAACCTCCCAGCGGATCCACCAATGTTCAAGGAGTGATGACTGGGGGAATGGTGCAGATGCCATTGTTTTGTTACCACATTGAATATCATTAGATGGGGTATTGCGGTATGACTGACTAGCTAGATCGACCTAGTTTACCTAGTTGGTTATGGAATTGTTATAGAATTGTGTATTGTTTCAGCAAGCTCAAGCCGAGCCATGGGGACGACACCTCCAATCTGTTTGGCTGCCGAGGGACGAATGGATTCACCGACTCTGGGAAAAGGTTGGAAGCTTTGACTCATGTCTTGCATGGCCGTGGACTGTAGATATCCCGGAAGAGGTCTTATTCTAGACCTGAGACTCACCAAGGTGATAAACCCCGGCTCAAATGTGTGTTTCAAGCCAACTGGATAGACAAGCACCAGTCAGGCCCCGGAAAGCCAATGGCTATGGCATAACATGGCATAACCACAGTGATCTGTAGCTATATAAAACCTTTCCATCACAGGTCACTGCGGGGTTGTTTACTCGGGTTGATTTGGAACATGTGCCACTAGCTGTGACGGATACGTTCAGTTCAAGAAATTCAAGAAGGAAAACCCTGAAAATATGTGGAACTCCATTACAAATCCAGACTGGTTGGTGGTTTCAACCCCTCTGACAAATATGAAAGTCAGTTGGGATTATTATTCCCAATATGTATATGGAAAAAAAATGTTCCAAACCACCAACCAGCAGATGATTCCATATGTCATATGAGACTTCTGTTGTTATACAAATGTTCTTCGGAACATTTTGCCTCCAGTAAAAATGTGGGATTCACGAGACAGTTTTCAGGTTCTACCATGTGTTCAGACATACTCTCCAGTTCAACATATGGAAAACCCACCTGGGATCTAGATTCTAGATTCTGTATAGACACTGTACCCTCTGGTAATTTAACATAGCTATAGAAAATCACCATTTTTAATAGGTAAACCATCTATCAATGGGCCATTTTCCACAGCAAACTGATCATTTTCCCAGTGACTTTCACCCATCTATAAAGGTTCAATGTCAAGACGCGACATGCCCTGTTGCTTCACTGCGTCAAGGTAGGATGTCACCACTTTCGTCAACATATCCTGACCAAAAAAACTGTGGGCTGTGTGGATCCAAGAAAGAGACATAGGACATGGGAAGTTAGCATGTTTTAAGATACATTAAATCTTAAATCGCATTGACTGTTAAAGATTTAAGTCGTACTAAAGTAGCCATCCAGTGTGTTTCACCAGCATGAAAGAATAAGGGACAATCCATCCTATCCAGAAACTGCCTGCGTGGGCTCCTATGTACTCCTTACAACACCGAGAACCTCCATCGACAGTTTGCATCTGGTCGGGGAGCATTTTTGGAGACAATGTCTGGTTTACCACATCATGCCGTATTTTCATGTATTTTCTACTAAATCATAATGTCGTTCTCCAAAAATCCCCAAATCCATTCAAATCCAGTGTTTTTACCACATGTACCACATGTATCCACATGTACCACATTGATTCAACCACCATTTTCATCTGGTTGGTGGTATACCTACCCCTCTGAAAAATATGAGTTCGTCAATTGGGATGATGACATTCCCATATATTATGGAAAGTCATAATCCATTCATGTTCCAAACCACCAACCAGATAAATATCCCATAGAAATAGTTGATTTACCCATTAAAAACGGTGATTTACCACATGTACCACATTCAACATTACCCTCCAGTACATTAACATAGACCCTGGTAGATAGGGGTTGGAAGATTAGTTTCCTCTAAAATTTGGTGATTTTCAGGGTCAACAAGTTAATTTACCAGAGGGTAACCATCATTAACTTTTATTAACCATTATTAACCGCCATTTTCACCACCCAAAAAACACCCGCGACGTTGAGGACGTCGGCCTCCTCGGCGACGTCGGCCTCTTCGCACTGGCCATACCACAGGACCACCCCGAAGGCACAGCGCCAGTCGAGGCAATCGCGTAGGACCTGGCGGACGGACACGGGACCGTTTCGGGAACGGTGCCCAAAACGGGTGACTTTTTCGTGAAGGGTTGGAAAAATGAAGGTTAAACTTATGGTTAAACCATGGTTTAAACCACATGTTTGATGATCAGGATAGAATCTATCATACAATGTGTACATCGATGGATTGATCGATAGATAGATAGATAGATCGATAGATAGATAGATAGATAGATAGATTAATAGTTAGATAGATAGATAGATAGATAGATAGATAGATAGATAGATACTCTATCCAATAAAATACCTGGCATGCTCGAAAAAAGTGATCATTTGGCTCAACCGCAGCGGCTTGGTAAGTGACAACCCTACAACCACGGGACTAACCCTTCTTATCCTGGCTGAGGTGACATATGAGATGAATATGAACCACCACCCTTCAGGTCAAACCAACAACAAAACGTTGTGTAAGTATTGGGGTGCATCTCTAAATGTGTGGCTACATAATGCTACAAAAAATATATTTTTATCACGAACGCTTAGCCACAAGTATACATATTTGCTAGACAACAACACGTTTGACATCGGAAATTCACATTGGCACCCCACACCACATTCCCAGAAACGGCTCGGTATGCATCGTATCATTGCATCATTTAGGTGATATCACATGGCCAATCATTTTGAAGGGTGGCTAACATATTATATGATTGTATATCATCTATATAATTTGTAATATTATAATATCATATTAATTATATGCATACAGTATATTGTATCCCATATGCTCCATGTATGGTATATTTACCTACATGTGGGTAATTTTTAGGGCAAATATGGGTAAATATTCCAGCACCATGGAGCATATGGGTATATACACAGATCCCCATTAACCATCCAGTTTGTTCCCACATCCATTGGAGCACTCCCTGGACCTCCAAATCCCCAGCCAGCAAGCTGTAGATGCGCCAGAGTTCAGGACTCATCAAGGCATCTGCTTGCGGTTGATACTTCCACTCCTCGGTCCATTGGAGTCGGTGAAACCATAAAATCATCCAAAATGGATGATCTTCAAATGGGAAAAACCATAGAAAACATATATAGGATGGGGCCCCCCAGTGATGTTTGTTGGTTTATAAACCATGATAATCCCCATGAATACTATAGTTATATCTACCATAAACCATAGTTAAACCACATATAAACCAACTTAGCTATCTTGGGGGCCCCATCTTGTATAGTAATTACCCATATTTGAGGAAATCTCCAGCTTTCGAAGCGGTGAAATCCCCCAAGGCTGTCCAATTTTTCTTTGAACCATTCGGTTTGTTGCTTACACTTCTCTTTCTGTTAGTAACAAACCCGCTTTGCGTTCGGTTTCATTCCGATGTTTGGGTGAAAAAAATAGAGATAATTCTCAATGAATTCACTCACAACAGAAAATCGGAATCTTTTGATGCTTGAAATCCCGACCTTTGCTGCTAACCAGCAAGCAGTTACTGTAGTTGGTGGCATCATTTTGGTTGCAAAAAAATGGCACCATGTCCTGCTGAAATCCCCAAAAAACGCACCCAAACTCCCCAAACCCCAAATGTTTTGTCAATTCTTGGTGGCTGCAATCATCTGCAATCCATAGCAATATCATGTTGTTGTTTGAATCCACTTTTGTTGTTGGTTAATGCCAAACACCATTGCCTGTTGAATACGATTTGTTTCCCGAGTTTCTTGCTTCAAACCCTCATTTATTCTCCAGAACTCTCCGCTTATTCAAACCCAACCTAGGACTGGGGGTTCATATTGTTGATTAAATTCCTATTGTATCTACACATGTTTTGCTATGTTTGATGGTTTCTCAAAGCTTTAATTTTGAATTGTTTCAATCAGTTTCTATACATAATATTACATAATTACCCCATGTTTGAAAGAACATAAAGTTGGGTATTACATTATATTCCCATTGCATCATTGTATTAGGTGTTGTTAATTACATTCCAATAATAAACAAATCATCTTTGATGCTTCAAATCCCCACACAATCTGGTGAAAAAGTCCACCATACCTCAGTTTTCACGGTCAAACCACCATTTTCTCATGGTCAAACCATGGTAAAACCATGGTAAAACCACGATTTTTCCATGGTAACCCCAGCTCCCCAAACTTCCAGGTCACCGCCAGCTGCTGCCGCAGGAAGCGGCGCTGCGGGCCCGGCAGCGGGCTGCCGCCAGAGGCCGCCAGGATGGCGGCAAGGCCTTGGAAGAAAACCAGGGGAACACTTTCCATGGGAAAAGCCGTAGGAAAATCGTGGGATCATGGGGCAATGGATAACAATAGAGTGGTATAGTGGGTGGTATAATGGTGGTAAAGGTAAAATAGTGGTATAATTCTCCAGTTTGAATTTTTTGTTGCGGGATGAAACACGGAAAACAATAGAAACATGGGAAAAGCTGTAGGAAAATAATGATTTTACCCATTGGTTCACCATCAAACATGCTGGTTTTTACCATGGTTTACCATGGAACACAGATGGAAAAACAGGATGGTTTTTAACATGGGGAAAATTGTGGAGACGGTGGTTGAACATTTTAGATGTACATCAATAGATTTAAGGATATATTTACAATATTCTGCAATCATATTGGAACTTAATGGGATTTAATGGCCTTTCGACTGGTTTTCGGAGGTAAAATATTGAAAAACAATGGAAAAAAAGTGGTTTTACCATCAAAATGATGGTTTTACCATGGAAAAATCGGTTGACACATATGGAAGAACACCTGGAAAATTCAATGGAAATACCATTGAGTTTTATTTTGATCTACGTTTTGATGGGATTCAAGACATTATTAATGAATGATATGTTTTATGATGTTTGACTGGGAGACATATGAAAAATAAACATTCCCATTCAACCAATGATAACTTTTCCATTTACTCAGTTTTTTGGGAACACATTGGAAAACAACATTTATTTGTTTCAATATTGTTTCAAATGAACTGGAATGAAAGCAGATGAAAGCCAAATATTAGACAGTTTCGTGATCTTTAACTGAATATGAAGATTAATTAACAATTCCCATTCGAACAAATGATAAATTTTACATTTACTCAGTTTTTGGGAAAACAACATATATTTGTTTCAATATTGTTTCAAATGAACTAGAATGACCTTTCCATTGTTTATTTGTTTCAAGACTACCGTTTGGTTATTTAAGCTAACTATGGAACATCACCATTTTGGATAGGTAAATCATCATGTGTATCCTCGATAAATGGACCATTTTCGCTATGTTAAATAACTCTAGAGGGTATAAATCACCATTATCCATGTTTTCACTGTATTAATCATTAATAACCATTATGATCCTATTGAAGAAATCCCATTAATTCCATTGAATTCCATTAAATCATCATTTCTTCATTAATCCCACTATTAATCACTATTATCCCATTAAATCCCATTCAATCATCATTAAAATCCATTAAACATCCATTAAAATCCATTAAACATCCCATTAAATCATCATTTCTTCCGTTTTTTCCAACATGTCTTGTCGTTGTTTGGGACAAGGCGCGGTCATAACCCGCCAGGCTCCGCAGCTCCCGCAAAGCCGCGGGGATGGAGTTGGCCGTGAGGTGGTGAAAGACGGCTTCCAGACCTGGAAGGGAATCATCCTTAACAATGGATATGTCCTTATAATGGATATATAATGGGTACATATATATATATCATATGAAATAAATAAGTAATATATGTAGTATATATAATATGTATATATAACAAACTTACTATGTTTAATGGTTCATGGTCATCCATCCAATTTCATGGAACACCCGAAGATATTGGCGATTTCACCACGCAGCCCACCAGGCGACCCCCCTACAACTACTGGTTGGTGGTTTCAACCCCTCTGAAAAATATTAGTCAGTTGGGATTATTATTCCCAATATATGGAAACATAAAATTCATGTTCCAAACCACCAACCAGATATTATATATATATGGAATATCGACATATCCTTTATAGATCTTTATGATATATGCATAGCTTGAATAAAAGTTATAAACCGTATCCTCACCATGCAGATCCAAGAATGGGACAATGTCATGAATGAGTACTCTATAAAAAGGATCATGAAGGTGTGTTTTTTTGATGGTACATTAATTGGACTGCGGGAAAATTGAAGGTAAATATGGATTAATACAAAATACTCTCCATGAGTGGGCCCCAACATTTAACACATCCAACAAACTAAAAATAAGTCAGGGTTTATATAGGTAGTATTCCCACAAAACTCTCAAAAGTTGAGCCACCCGAGGTTTACCCAAACTTGTTCTTGTTAAACCATGTTAACACTTTGGATTTTTCTGGTTGAACATCTATGTCTTTGTTTTATGCAATCATCCTTTGTTTTATGCAATCATCCAGGTATCAGTGTTATTCTACTGCTGTAACATGTTTGATTTATATACCTCTTAAAGATGGTGATTTTCCATAGCAAACTGTTAAATTACCAGAGGGTACTGGTTATGGACTGAAAATACCCTCTGGTTATTTAAAGTAGCTACGTAAATCGTCATCATTTTGAGCATCGAACTAGCTACGACCTGATTTTCCATAGTGTTAACTAACCATCATAACCATGACGAACATGATTTAGATTGATACCCATAGTGATACTAAATATAAGGTGGATACGTAAACCATCATGACCCAATTTTCCATAGTGTTAACTAATAGTAATCTGGTTGGTGGTATACCTACCCCTCTGAAAAATGTAGAGTCAGTTGGGATGATGACAGTCCCAACTATTTCTGGAAAGTCATAAAATCCATTCGTGTTCCAAACCACCAACCAGTTATAGTTGATTAGATACTATAAATGGTTGTTATCTAATGATTATTAACCATAGATTTACCATAGATTTAACTAACAGTAACTATAACCATCCAGGGTCAATCCCTCAACTTCCAGGTCCAGGCACATTGCGCTTCGGAGAAATTTCCACCGAAAGCTCCAGGGATGGGTCGCCTTTTGTCGAGGTACTGCTTCACCGTGCGCTGATTCACCCGGGAAAGCCACCTGCTGTGGTGATTCTCTGGGATATTAAAAGGAGATACTAATAGAAATAACCATATTATAGAAATTAGATTAAATTATATGTTTTTGCTTGGAGTCTTCACTCTCCATATCAAATAGATATAACACCAGGATTTTGCCTGAGGCACCCAACGGATAGCAGTTGACTCACAGTTCACTAGAGTTTTTGGCGGATATAACATGATACATATAGCGTTCATGGGGTGAAACTAAACCAACAGACAAAACTGGGGCCTTATTTTGTAGTATTTACCCATCTATTTCTGGTGTAAGTTTGATCATGACTGCAGCTGAGGCCCTGAAATTCAGCAATTTGGACGAGTTAACAAGATTGGTTGAACGGGAACTGTTGCAGCAAATCGTGGTTCTTTGGTTTTTCCTTGCCAGGCTTGCCCACTTTGAAGGACAAACTATCATACAGTATCTCCATGATGTTCTTCGTTGAGGTGAAATCAATCATTAAATCAGATTGGAATATTGTCGGACATTTATTATTAGTCACAATCATCGCAATCCCCTAAAAAGACAGAACATCATACAGTTGAACCCAAAATAAAACATGATACCTTACATATATTTACCATATATTTACCATATATTTACCTGACATATCACCTATTTGGCTGCAAAACCTCTGGATCTGCATCGCCTGCTGAGCCGCGGCAGCACCTCCGCCCCGGAGGAAGCGCCGGCGAAGAGCGCCTCAGCCAGGTGGAAGGCGTCCGAAGCCACGTCGCCGAAACCTGCGGAAAATGGTGGACGTGAAGCTTTTTGGATCGGTGAATGGTGAAAATCCATAGGAAAAATGTGGGAAAACCATGGGAATCCATAGGAAAATGTGGGTTCTTCATGGGATGAAAATAGCTGATTTATGTAAACTAGCCTCTGGTTATGTCAAAATATCGAACTTGAAAATGACTATAGAAATAGTGGATTGTCCTGTTAGACATGGTGATTTTCCATAGTTATGTAAATGTTTACCAGAGGGTATTGTTTTTGGATGAACAGATTTTGAGATTGATGTTTTTTAAGATTCAAATTCACTTTTTGAAACAAAACCTAAGGATTGAAGATTTCTCAAACATGGAGCTAGAAATAGTTGGTTCAGGTGGTTGCTTGGCCATGTTGGAATTGGTCAATATCCCAGTTGTTCCTATGGTTTTGTTGGATATACATTGCCAACCTTGTGATACCCTGCCCTTTTTAAGCTGTATGTATTTAGATATGTACGTACGTATTAACTGAAACGAATTAAGCTGTACTAAGTAGCCATCCAGTGCCATCCAGATGCTTTCCCCCCGGGGAAAAAGTTTTTCACTATGACTTAGAAGTGATACATTGTTGGTTAAATAACCTACTGCATCAATGAAGCAAAGTAAGAACTGGTGTTGAGCTGGCTCTGTGTTTATGAGTCACATCACCAGTCTTGTGGGATATTATGCTTAATTCAACCCCAATGCTATAGCACTTTGTCAGGTTTTGATCCTTAAAAGAACATTGGCGAAAGCAGTCCCCTTCAAATCCTTCAAAAACCAAGCCCAAAAACCGTGATTGTTTGATACTTTGGTAGTTGTATAAAGGATAGTACAGTAGTGAAGGTTGCCAAATTGTAATTGTTGGTGATTGGGACAAAGTTCATCCACTTTTGGTTCATGGCAGTGGTATTCATCCAAAACCATCGGGGATTTACCATTCTCATCTTTGCTTGCCACAGGGAAACCAAATTATGAGTTGTTCCGACGCACAATTAGCGCTTACTACTAACAGCTGCAACCAATCAAAAGATTAGTTTAAGGAAAGTCTGGACCGGAAACAATGGTCCTTACCCGCAAATTCAGTGAGGGTTCCTGCAGTCTCGTTTTCCCGTACTTGGGGGTGCTGGGTATATGTGGTTATTTCAGCACAGTTGTAGGTAGGGGTAATATCCCAACTTATGGGGGTTGCTTATATCAATTACTAATCCCAACTGCACCCCCAAGTAGCTTGGTTTTTCTTAAGGACCTCCCCCCAAATACACATGTATATATATATATACTACATACTATATACTATATATATATAATATAATATATATATATATTCCCTCTAGTAGATTCCCCAAGTAGTCAATTTCTCATTGGAAAATTGAGAAAAAACACATCAAAACAGTAAATCCAAGGTAAGAAGCCTAGGAAGCCAAGACACAATCTGCAGCCACTGCGCTATATTTTTGCAGCAGCACTTTTGCATCCGCCCCCACAGGCGAAATCAAGGCAGGAGTTCCGGTGGTGGGTGTACCTCTCTGATAAGGTTGCCGCTTGCAGGACTTTTTGGTGACAAAAAAAAGGGTTGGTTATTGGTGGTTTAACCAACAAGAATATTAGGATATGTTGGGGTAGGTATGTGTGTGTATATGTATATATATATATATATGGGCCAGCGACTTCTAAGCCGTACCCCGTACTTAGCTAAGTTGGTCTATCACCAGGCCAACTAAGTTACAGTAGATGGGGTTGTAAGGTACAACTAGGGGGTACCACATTGTATAACCACGGCGATAACTTGCATGATTTGGGATACAACCCCCAATAAAGGCCCTACAACTATGGTGATATACCCACGTATAACTGGAACTGCATAGCCAAGTTTGACCAGCAAATGCTGAACGCCAACCATGTCATTCTGAAAAATAAGCATGGCCAATCTTAGAGATGCTGCAAAAAAAGTTGGCAAACGACTAAAGAATTATATCAAGGATCCATCCAGGAATCCAAGACCCGAACGTGCATCTATTTACACAACCTATATCAACCTATCATGTTTTTGCATTCATTTATCTCCGTGTTGCTCAAAAAAGGTGTGCCGGTCTATCAGTCAACCAGTGGGAAAATCACATCGGTCTATGAACCTAACATCATGGTGAGTACATCAAAGAAGCCTAAAATGGAACTCGCAAAGATGGATTGGACAACCCTACCAGAAAGACGAAAGATCGTTTTTAGCTGGTTGGAATATATCCTAATTTACCGCAAAAGATTAGATAGATAGTACATGATAGTACAGTGATCGAAAGTTACCTTTTTTAATAGGGTTTTTCCCAGTATCCCGGCCCCATTTTTCCAAAGAAAGACTCAGTGGCCTGAGGGTAAAACTTCCACAGATGAGGCCAGTCCAGCTTCCACTTGCGCTTGCAACAAACTTTCTGCTGATAGATCTGCCGACCTTACAACGCGATGATGGTTTCAAACCATCAGAAATCATGGAGTTATTCTCCTCATGGATAAGGGTCATTAAACCTTGGAAAACCACCAATCCCCATTAACCACCATCGATCCCTATTGTATAAATGTTGGCTGAACCACTTTAAACCCTGGAATCTTGGATGGCTTTATCACTGGTGCGGCTAGTGGAGGATACCCTTACACTCGAGACGATGCGGACCGGAACGCTGACCGTGACTATAGTAACCCAACAAGATTCAGAAACGGCTCTGGTTTTAGTAGGTTTACCATAATTTACTATATAGTTGTAGTGGGTGATAGTGAATATGGTAAACTACAGTGGGGTTATTCTAGTGAATCTACAACTATTTCACTAGAAGTTTACCACCTTTCTATCTTTGCGGGAGTTGCTCTGCAATAGTCATGACAAGGTTTTTGAACTGAGCCGCTATCCTTGATGATATCCGTGGCTATACCAGCCTTCTACCCTCCAATGTGGATGCTTCTAAGCCGACGGCCTTAGACTTTGAACATACTCTGTCTCCCATCTTTGTTTTTCATTTGCAACCACTTGTAAAGTCCCCACCCTATCTAATTGGTGGTTTCAACCCCCTCAGATTGGATCATCATCCCAAATATTGGGGAAGTTAAAATTCATGTTCCAAACCATCAACCAGCTATTGTTGGTCATATCCCTACTATCCCCATGAAATCGCCACTGCCACCTGGCCACCTGGGCTGCGGTGGAACCGGACCCCGAGCTGTGCGCAAGAGCCGCACCTGGTACGTTCCACCCGCGCTCACCGGCATAGCCAGGAGCCCCAGGCGACAGGAGCCTCTGGAGGGTCCCAGCTTCGCCTCGAAATCCGGGATTTTTTGGTCAAAACAAATTGGTTGATGTTGAAATCAAGACTGGTTGGTGGTTTTAACAATGGTGATTTCAGGGATACTGGCCATCGAAACTTGGAATATCATTGGATTTAACGGCATCAAATAACTGGTTGGTGGTTTTAACCATCTTGAAAATATTAGTCAATGGAATGGATTATCCCATTTATGAAATGGAAAATGAAAAATGTTTGAAACCACTAACCAGAAATGGTCCATTGGACGAATGACAGGAATAGAAATATGATGAAATATGTACGGAATATGTAGAAACGAGTGAAATGAGGATTTAACCTCAAGAAATACGTTTGATGTTCCATGGAAACTTGATTTCTACCAGGAAAAACAGGGTGATTTAGCAATGAATTCACTGAAAAAATGAAAATGAATGAAACATGCTGGATTCCACCCAAGAGCCACCTCCAACCATTTCAACTTCGAACAAGGTGTTTGATAGCTGATTCCCGAGGTTCTCCTGGAAAATCTCTATAAATCCTGGTTGGTGGTTTCAACCCCTTTGAAAAATATGAGTTCGTCAGTTGGGATGATGAAATTCCCAATCATATATGGGAAAATAGGGGGTGTTCCAAACCACCAACCAGATATATAATCATAGTTATAGGGGATATATGTGATATCCCACTCGAAAAATAGAGGAACTAAAGTGACAAAGAAGTACTGTTTCCGCAAATGTCTGTTTTCCTCTGTCCGCTTGTGACGAAGTCTTGTGTTTACCTAGGTCGAGCTCTAGAGCCAGAACAGTTACATGGACAACAATGTACCTGAGGCATGGTAGATCATGTACCTTTCAAGTCGGGTGTTCTCCTGTAAGTTGGTAAGATGTTGTAACTGGCTCGAGCTCAAACTTCAGTATCTGTGCTTGCCAGAGGACGTGTCCCTTTGGTCTTCATGAATTCAGCGGGGTGTAGTCTTCGTACATACCCCTTCAGTGCACTAATTAGTTGCGACCGATCGATGGAACCTTTGGTCATTCCATCGGCTATCATGTCGCGTGTGTCGACCCAACCTAAAATGCGAATGATCTTCGAGGTGGTCAACTGCTTAATCCATGAGATATGAGAGAGTAGTGACTTTTCCGTTGGGTATTTGAAATTTTCATTTTCCACCGCACTGAAAACGGACCTGGCGTCTATCCAGACATAGAGTTCGATAAGGTAACCACCATTTTCTCTTAAATTTATACTGGATTGGGGGCTAAGAGGTCCGAAACATATTTCATGAAGGGTAGTTATGATTATAAAACTTTGATCAACGGATGCTGTGAGTGCCAACAGCTCAGCGGCGAATGTGCTGCGCACCACGAGCTTATGAGATTGAGAAACGGCCTCAATCAAATGGCATCTCTTTACTCCTCTCACATCAGTGCCCATTCGAAGGTATATTGCACCTCTCAAAGCGTATCCCTTGTCATTTTCTCTGGAGAATGCTGAATCAGAATATAGCTCAACAACCCTGCTACAAGTCATTGAGCTATACTCTAATTTCTGGGGACGACGTTGAAGCTCTCGGGTGAGTGCATTCAGTCTTTTGACATGTGTAACAGTGGGGTTCTGAGTTACACGTTGGAGGGAAATTATGTAGACTAAGACCCACGCCTGTGTTAGGGCGGAATAGGCAACGGCTCCTAACAAGCTCCAATACAGCGCTCTGAGGTGCTCGGGGCATTGTGCGTCCTTCTGGAGATTGGCATAGTGCTTTGGGTTTATAGGTTTTAATGCACTAAGGTATTCTGTCTGATCAAGAGTGATGGTACCATCTGGGAGTCTTTTATGACATATACCACAGTTTGTAAATTCACTTTCTTGATAAGTCAATTTCCCAAAGTGCCTTTCCAGGGTTTTAACCAAAGAATCTATTTCTGATTTCATACCTGCCATTTTAATATCATCTACATGAACGGTTATGGCTAAGACTAGGGTTTCTTTCTTATGTAACATTAACAATTGGGGGTCATACAAAGATGCTCGGAACCCTAATTCCTTGAGGATATTGATTAGCCTCAAGTTGAATGCTCTGGGAGCGTCTCTACAGCCAGTGCCAGGCTTCAAGCATTTGAGAGCTTCCGTTCGCTCATCAAAATCCTCATATCCTGGGATCCGTCTGAGATGTTTGGCTGTTCCTGCCGGGACGGTAAAGCTTATGTGTTTCTCGGGCTCTCCAGTCAACTTGTTCATCTCGGAAAAGGTAAGCCCTTGAAGAAATGCTTTACTTATGTCCACAGCGACAAAACTCCAATCTTTATGGCAGGCTGCTTCACTGGCTAGAATCTTTTGGGATGTTCTTTGCGCAGTGGCCGAAAAGTTCACCTCATCTTCGGTTTGCGGTTCCTTGAACCCTCGCAAGGCCAACCGCATCCTGATGATGCGCTTCCCGTCTACATACTTCCACTTAGAAACTAGCTTGGCGTCGATCAGAACTTTACACTTCTTTTTGGGGATTCGTTCAAAACAACCATATTTATGCCAGGTTTCATACTCCTTAACTGTTGCTTCATCAACTTCCTTGCGATGGTCAATTAATTCCTTAGTTGTGAGCAAGTCAGTATCTCTCTCAATGACTTCTTTCTTAGCTTCTGCATTAAGGAATACTTTCATTAAATTGGGTTTAGACACGTCGCGACTGTCTTGGAAGCATTCAGTGATGTTTTCTGAGATCAACACTTCAAGGAATGGTTCATCATTTTCATCAAACTCAAAAGTGTGATCATACTCATCGAAATCTGGACTAACTGTTGGTGGTATTGAATCCCAATCGTTATGGTTGTCTGGACTTGTAAAATAACACCAATCATCTTTAATCTCCACATCTGCTGCTTCATCTACTGGTTCGTTGAGAACTACCCAGCACAGCTCCTTGAGATCACTTTGGATTTCTTTGGGAGCACCTTCGAAGTGTTGCAAGTACAATGCTTCAACTTCTGGAGAGTCAATGCTAACTTGAGATTCCTCGGCGATCGTACTGAGCCGCCCATCACTACGACCCACCTCGATCTCTCGATCGAGATGCGCCATAGCCGACGGACGGTCCAGCACTTTCTCCTCAAAATCATCAAGTGTCATTCCGACATCTCTGTCTAGCATAAAACACTGCATTGTTGCGACGAAAGACTCCTGTGGACCAAAGATTTTGTTGATGTTTTGTCTCGGGTGATCAGCAACATGTATGAGCATTGCATCTGGGTTGTTCATGTTCCAATTGAAAATCACATTGCGGTATCTGTCGTCCAGATCTTGCAGCTGTTTGATTTTATGTCCAATTCTTACAGTGCAGATATCATCCATCTGGAGGGAATTTGTTATGATGAACTCTAGTGCTTTTGAAATTTTGGGCCATCGCTTGGTGGTTCTTGTCAGTCTGTCATTTACATACCCAAAAACTTCAACACGGCCATCAGGGAGTTCATTCAAAAATTGATGGATGTATTCCATGGCATTCAAACAGATATCCGCATTGGTGTGTCCATAAAGAGAAACTGTTGCATAGTATTGTGCTGGGCGTACATCTTGGAGGCGATATGGTCTGGTCTGTCCATTTATTTTAAGAGCTACAATGCCATCTGCGGCTACACACTCTACGACTTCATATGGACCGGTCCAGCCACTCATGTCTTTGCTCGGGGGCGTTCGGTATAACTCTACCAAGTCTCCTTTTGCAAAACGGTTTTCTCCCGACAAGGCAGTTTTGGACCCCAAAGCTCTTTTGATACGAGATGCACTTGTGGCTGAAACCATAGACTGCAATGCAAGTTCGCGGATGCGGGCATCAACTCTCTCTTCCAAGCCGGCGTTGTCTGTGATTGGCGGAAGGCAAGCTGGTTGTCTTCCCATCACTACCTGGTAGGGTGTAACTCCTCCTACATGTGTTAGTGCGTTACCCATAAAGACGCTATTGGCAAGTAATGATGGGAAGTTGATGTCAATACCTTCTCTTATGGCTTGGGATTCCATCACATGCATTGCATGTCTTAAGATCGCCCCTCTCCTCTCGATGTACCGAGCGTGTTGGTCCTTGCCTCTTACCTTTAAGACTACACCCATACGCTTCAATCTTGCTTCAGCGCTGGATGAAGTCAAACCAGCTTCACTGTCAGTGACAAGCTGTTGAGGTGGGCCAAAGATGGATACCCATGCTGTGTGGAAGTTCGTGATTAATTGGTCTTCTGTTTTGTTAGGAGTTTCCACAGCAACATGCCATCTTGTCGCTCTGCAAATAAAGTGATGTACAACAAATTCTCGATAGAACATCAAATCGGTTTCTACTACTTCGTTAAAGTTCATGGCCAAAGAAACAGAGGGTTGAGTATCTTTGGCTTTTGGTGCCCACTTGCGGCATTCACGGCAGGTTGAAATGATGTCAGGAATGTAGCTTATGACTTCTTCAGGTATGCCTGCATTTCTTAAAACGCTAGTCATGTTGGTGGGTCCTGCATGCCACCATCTTAAATGCAGCTTCCTGAGTGTTCGAATAATTGTTGGTTCATGACTACTTCTCAAGTCTTTGAGACTATGAGTGACATCAAATCTAGACCAGTCAGATGGATGTTCACTGCCTGCGGCCGCATCCCGGAACTTTCGATAAGGGCCTCGGAGTCTGCTCTCGGCGGGTTCGCCGTCATCTGGATTGTAGGGGACAATCCTATCTTCTACTGGAGGTGCTGCCCCTACGGCTGAACTACTGGCAGCTCCTTCACCGGCTCCCAAATCGGTTCCATCAGGCAGTTGGGCCTGAGAGTCTTGAACCGGAAGTTCATCAGCCCGCTTGGCTGGTTCTCTGGGATGGTGGCCTTTTCGATGAATGCCCTTACGGTGAGCTATGGTCATGTGTTTGCACTCACCTTGGGCATAAGTATGTGAACTGTCACCAGCAGGTTTCATTTTCTTACATCCAGGGCATGTCCATATTACGGGGGCATCTAAAGGATATTTACATGTGTCAGGGTCACGAGTGTG